CGAGGCTTCTGAGGTGGCAGGGGCGAGGGTTCTGAGGTGGCAGGGGCGAGGGTTCTGAGGTGGCAGGGGCGGGCTTCTGAGGTGGCAGGGGCGGGCTTCTGAGGTGGCAGGGGCGAGGCTTCTGAGGTGGCAGGGGCGAGGCTTCTGAGATGGCAGGGGCGGGGCTTCTGAGGTGGCAGGGGCGAGGCTTCTGAGGTGGCAGGGGCGAGGCTTCTGAGGTGGCAGGGGCGAGGCTTCTGAGGTGGCAGGGGCGAGGGTTCTGAGGTGGCAGGGGCGAGGGTTCTGAGGTGGCAGGGGCGAGGCTTCTGAGGTCGCAGGGGCGAGGCAGGGGCGAGGCTTCTGAGGTGGCAGGGGCGAGGCTTCTGAGGTCGCAGGGGCGAGGCAGGGGCGAGGCTTCTGAGGTGGCAGGGGCGAGGCTTCTGAGGTCGCAGGGGCGAGGCAGGGGCGAGGCTTCTGAGGTGGCAGGGGCGAGGCTTCTGAGGTGGCAGGGGCGAGGCTTCTGAGGTGGCAGGGGCGGGGCTTCTGAGGTGGCAGGGGCGAGGCTTCTGAGGTGGCAGGGGCGAGGCTTCTGAGGTGGCAGGGGCGAGGCTTCTGAGGTGGCAGGGGCGAGGCGTCTGAGGTGGCAGGGGCGAGGGTTCTGAGGTGGCAGGGGCGAGGCTTCTGAGGTGGCAGGGGCGAGGCTTCTGAGGTGGCAGGGGCGAGGCTTCTGAGGTGGCCGGGGCGAGGCTTCTGAGGTGGCTGGGGCGAGGCTTCTGAGGTGGCAGGGGCGGGGCTTCTGAGGTGGCAGGGGCGAGGCTTCTGAGGTGGCAGGGGCGAGGCTTCTGAGGTGGCAGGGGCGAGGCTTCTGAGGTGGCAGGGGCGAGGCTTCTGAGGTGGCAGGGGCGAGGCTTCTGAGGTGGCAGGGGCGAGGGTTCTGAGGTGGCAGGGGCGAGGGTTCTGAGGTGGCCGGGGCGAGGCTTCTGAGGTCGCAGGGGCGAGGCAGGGGCGAGGCGTCTGAGGTGGCAGGGGCGAGGCTTCTGAGGTGGCAGGGGCGAGGCTTCTGAGGTGTCAGGGGCGAGGCTTCTGAGGTGTCAGGGGCGAGGCGTCTGAGGTGGCAGGGGCGAGGCTTCTGAGGTGGCAGGGGCGAGGCTTCTGAGGTGGCAGGGGCGAGGCTTCTGAGGTGGCAGGGGCGAGGCTTCTGAGGTGGCCGGGGCGAGGCTTCTGAGGTGGCAGGGGCGAGGCTTCTGAGGTGGCAGGGGCGGGGCTTCTGAGGTGGCAGGGGCGAGGCTTCTGAGGTGGCAGGGGCGAGGCTTCTGAGGTGGCAGGGGCGAGGCTTCTGAGGTGGCAGGGGCGAGGCTTCTGAGGTGGCAGGGGCGAGGCTTCTGAGGTGGCAGGGGCGAGGGTTCTGAGGTGGCAGGGGCGAGGGTTCTGAGGTGGCCGGGGCGAGGCTTCTGAGGTCGCAGGGGCGAGGCAGGGGCAAGGCGTCTGAGGTGGCAGGGGCGAGGCTTCTGAGGTGGCAGGGGCGAGGCTTCTGAGGTGGCAGGGGCGAGGCTTCTGAGGTGGCAGGGGCGAGGCTTCTGAGGTGGCAGGGGCGAGGCTTCTGAGGTGGCAGGGGCGAGGCTTCTGAGGTGGCAGGGGCGAGGCTTCTGAGGTGGCAGGGGCGAGGCTTCTGAGGTGGCCGGGGCGAGGCTTCTGAGGTGGCTGGGGCGAGGCTTCTGAGGTGGCAGGGGCGGGGCTTCTGAGGTGGCAGGGGCGAGGCGTCTGAGGTGTCAGGGGCGAGGCTTCTGAGGTGGCAGGGGCGAGGCTTCTGAGGTGGCAGGGGCGAGGCTTCTGAGGTGGCAGGGGCGAGGCTTCTGAGGTGGCAGGGGCGAGGCTTCTGAGGTGGCAGGGGCGAGGCTTCTGAGGTGGCAGGGGCGAGGCTTCTGAGGTGGCAGGGGCGAGGCTTCTGAGGTGGCAGGGGCGAGGCTTCTGAGGTGGCAGGGGCGAGGCTTCTGAGGTGGCAGGGGCGAGGCTTCTGAGGTGGCAGGGGCGAGGCTTTTGAGGTGGCAGGGGCGAGGCTTCTGAGGTGGCCGGGGCGAGGCTTCTGAGGTGGCAGGGGCGAGGCTTCTGAGGTGTCAGGGGCGTGGCGTCTGAGGTGTCAGGGGCGAGGCTTCTTAGGTGGCAGGGGCGGGGCTTCTTAGGTGGCAGGGGCGAGGCTTCTGAGGTGGCAGGGGCGAGGCTTCTGTCGTGGCAGGGGCGAGGCTTCTGAGGTGGCCGGGGCGAGGCTTCTGAGGTGGCCGGGGCGAGGCTTCTGAGGTGGCAGGGGCGAGGCTTCTGAGGTGGCAGGGGCGGGGCTTCTGAGGTGGCAGGGGCGAGGCTTCTGAGGTGGCAGGGGCGAGGCTTCTGAGGTGGCAGGGGCGAGGCTTCTGAGGTGGCAGGGGCGAGGCTTCTGAGGTGGCAGGGGCGAGGCTTCTGAGGTGGCAGGGGCGAGGGTTCTGAGGTGGCAGGGGCGAGGCTTCTGAGGTGGCAGGGGCGAGGCTTCTGAGGTGGCAGGGGCGAGGCTTCTGAGGTGGCAGGGGCGAGGCTTCTGAGGTGGCAGGGGCAAGGGTATTGAGGTGGCAGGGGCGAGGCTTCTGAGGTGGCAGGGGCGAGGCTTCTGAGGTGGCAGGGGCGAGGCTTCTGAGGTGGCAAGGGAAAGGGTATTGAGGTGGCAGGGGCGGGGCTTCTGAGGTGGCAGGGGCGAGGCTTCTGAGGTCGCAGGGGCAAGGCAGGGGCGAGGCTTCTGAGGTTGCAGGGGCGAGGCTTCTGAGGTCGCAGGGGCGAGGCAGGGGCGAGGCATCTAAGGTGGCAGGGGCGAGGCTTCTGAGGTGGCAAGGGGCGAGGCTTCTGAGGTGGCAGGGGCGAGGCTTCTGAGGGGGCAGGGGCGAGGCTTCTGAGGTGGCAGGGGTGAGGCTTCTGAGGTGGCAGGGGCGAGGCTTCTGAGGTGGCAGGGGCGAGGCTTCTGAGGTGGCAGGGGCGAGGCTTCTGAGGTGGCAGGGGCGAGGCGTCTGAGGTGGCAGGGGCGAGGCTTCTGAGGTGGCAGGGGCGAGGGTTCTGAGGTGGCAGGGGCGAGGCTTCTGAGGTGGCAGGGGCGAGGCTTCTGAGGTGGCAGGGGCGAGGGTATTGAGGTGGCAGGGGCGAGGCTTCTGAGGTGGCAGGGGCGAGGCTTCTGAGGTGGCAGGGGCGAGGCTTCTGAGGTGGCAAGGGCAAGGGTATTGAGGTGGCAGGGGCGGGGCTTCTGAGGTGGCAGGGGCGAGGCTTCTGAGGTCGCAGGGGCGAGGCAGGGGCGAGGCTTCTGAGGTTGCAGGGGCGAGGCTTCTGAGGTCGCAGGGGCGAGGCAGGGGCGAGGCATCTGAGGTGGCAGGGGCGAGGCTTCTGAGGTGGCAAGGGGCGAGGCTTCTGAGGGCGCAGGGGCGAGGCTTCTGAGGGCGCAGGGGCGAGGCTTCTGAGGTGGCCGGGGCGAGGCTTCTGAGGTGGCCGGGGCGAGGCTTCTGAGGTGGCTGGGGCGAGGCTTCTGAGGTGGCAGGGGCGGGGCTTCTGAGGTGGCAGGGGCGAGGCTTCTGAGGTGGCAGGGGCGGGGCTTCTGAGGTGGCAGGGGCGAGGCTTCTGAGGTGGCAGGGGCGAGGCTTCTGAGGTGGCAGGGGCGAGGCTTCTGAGGTGGCAGGGGCGAGGCTTCTGAGGTGGCAGGGGCGAGGCTTCTGAGGTGGCAGGGGCGAGGCTTCTGAGGTGGCAGGGGCGGGGCTTCTGAGGTGGCAAGGGCAAGGGTATTGAGGTGGCAGGGGCGGGGCTTCTGAGGTGGCAGGGGCGAGGCTTCTGAGGTCGCAGGGGCGAGGCAGGGGCGAGGCTTCTGAGGTTGCAGGGGCGAGGCTTCTGAGGTCGCAGGGGCGAGGCAGGGGCGAGGCATCTGAGGTGGCAGGGGCGAGGCTTCTGAGGTGGCAAGGGGCGAGGCTTCTGAGGTGGCAGGGGCGAGGCTTCTGAGGGCGCAGGGGCGAGGCTTCTGAGGTGGCAGGGGTGAGGCTTCAGAGGTGGCAGGGGCGAGGCTTCTGAGGTGGCAGGGGCGAGGCTTCTGAGGTGGCAGGGGCGGGGCTTCTGAGGTGGCAGGGGCGAGGCGTCTGAGGTGGCAGGGGCCAGGCCTCTGAGGTGGCAGGGGCGAGGCTTCTGAGGTGGCAGGGGCGAGGCTTCTCAGGTGGCAGGGGCAAGTGTATTGAGGTGGCAGGGGCGAGGCATCTGAGGTGGCAGGGGCGGGGCTTCTGAGGTGGCAGGGGCGAGGCTTCTGAGGTGGCAAGGGGCGAGGCTTCTGAGGTGGCAGGGGCGAGGCTTCTGAGGGCGCAGGGGCGAGGCTTCTGAGGTGGCAGGGGTGAGGCTTCAGAGGTGGCAGGGGCGAGGCTTCTGAGGTGGCAGGGGCGAGGCTTCTGAGGTGGCAGGGGCGGGGCTTCTGAGGTGGCAGGGGCGAGGCTTCTGAGGTGGCAGGGGCCAGGCCTCTGAGGTGGCAGGGGCGAGGCTTCTGAGGTGGCAGGGGCGAGGCTTCTCAGGTGGCAGGGGCAAGTGTATTGAGGTGGCAGGGGCGAGGCATCTGAGGTGGCAGGGGCGGGGCTTCTGAGGTGGCAGGGGCGAGGCTTCTGAGGTGGCAGGGACGAGGGTTCTGAGGTGTCAGGGGCGAGGCTTCTGAGGTGGCAGGGGCGCGGCATCTGAGGAGGCAGGGTGCCAGCCCGAGAGGGATGCGAGAAGGGGTGAGCCCGCATGGCCTGGCAAGCCAAACAGATAACGACAATAGCGAAGGGAGGAGCCCGCATGGGGCATGGCCTGACCAGCCAACAGAGCCCCGAGAGGGATGCGAAAGCCCCACGGCCGTGCACCGCCATCCACGCCCGGTGCACCTTCCCTACCCCCCGGCTCAGCTGCATTCCCCCTGCCGTGATACCAGTAACTGCTGTTGTTGATCGCCAAGGGCGGCTTTCATCGGTCATCGATACCGTATCCTTGATTTGACAAGGGACACCCAAGGGACCCAGCCAAAAGCTGGCTTATTACATCTTACGCAACATCCTTATTACCAGTAACCTCCCCTCCTCCTCCGTGCCGCCTTGCACCTGCCTGACTGCCCATGAACACAACCACCGGCGCCCTTCCCGGCCTTGCATACACGTAGTAGCATCCGTCAAATGTCATGAGGTCAGCTTGGTAGATAGACAGCCCGACATCAAGAATTCCCCGTGGGGTAACAGACACAATGATACACAGTAATGCCGCTCGCGCAACAGCGGTGCAAACCAATGCGGCTGCAGCAACGAACACACATATGCACGTTTGAGGCGTCGAAATTCCGGTTGAGTCATCTGACGATTCGTCTTCTGCCGTACATGACAGGCGGGGTTGCGCGCGGCACATGTCGTACGGGTGCGTAACCAATGAATTACGTAACGACCATCCAAACCAAAACTAACAACTGCTAAAACAACAATAGCATACCAGCAACAGCCAAGATTCAAAGGTATATAACCAACAACAAACGAGGTATGATATAAAGTAGGCGGGCGATGAAATTATATAGCCCCCTTACTGCAAATCTTAGTTTTCTCTTCTCAAAAGCTCATCAAAGACAGTTGCGGTGCGTCTCGTCAATCGTGTGCAAGTCAAGCCAGTGAGCAGCTGCATGCAGCCCCCGCCGAGCGCTCCCTCACGTCACGCCTGTTCCGTGCAAGTGGAAGCAGAGTCGCCAAATCCAGGGCCACAGAAAGACACACACTCCATCGCGCCAACGCTCTGGCACGGCGCAAAGCAAACAGAACAGGGCCAAAGGACGCACGGCAATGGACGCTCTTCTAGTAGCAAACACATGTACGACACGCTCGACAGTAAAAACAGGATTCGGAATTTCTTATATCCTCAGAACGTACAACCAACTCACCAAACCGGATCCAAATAGAATCCAAACTGACCACCAACCAAACTTTGTCTTGTACGACAACAAAAGGCAAAATGATCTACAAAGTGGTATTCCGTAACGCAGTACTCCTAACCTAAACCACTCCAGTCCAGAAGACTCTAGTCCAGAAAGTCATCCCCCCTTCAAAGGAAACCCCAGTCAGCAAGCTAGCTACCCAGCGGCCCCACGTACGACACGCCCCCCCACTTCCCTCTCGTTCTTTCAGCCGTCCCGCCCTTTCCTGAACAGTGCCACCCCTCGCCACAACCAACACACATCATCAAAGGGTACTACACAGCATCACCATCTAAGAGGCCACGAACGCGCACGCACCCATGGTCCGTCACATCATCTTCCAACAGTCCAGTACATTCCTCCTCGCGACCAGTTTTCAATGGAACCTCGCCATCACCCTTTGTTAATCCCACTGTACGCGTCATGGCGCGTCTTGTCACCTCTTTGGCTTCTGTGAGAAGCCAATCGGCAAGCTTTTTAGGAAGCAAACCGTCAACGAAAGAATGCCACCACGCAAAGGGCACAAGGTCGCCACGTCAGCGGCAGTACTACTGTCAATCCGTTTGCAGTAGCAGCTACAAACACAGCAGTGACAGTTTTGCGGCCAGTTAAATGGGGCACACAGCACAAAGAAAACCGTAAAGACAAGAACTAATTATTGCTCATCTACTCAGGGCCTTTAAAGAAACACGTCCGGCCAAACCGGCAGCTACAGATTCGACCATCCCCAACAAATTGACAATGCACGCGGGGGTATACGCCGTATTGTAAATGGTAGCAGAGCCGCAATCCACCTACCACCCCCAAACGACCCATGGGTCATTCCTCCGTAACTTCCAAACACATACCTTCCAAACCCAAAGCACTCGAGCATGTCAGGAGGCGCCCGAGCCCTTCTAAAAAGGGCAAAGCGCCCACCGACCTACCACGCATACATTCATGTAACGGGAACAACAAACAGCACACGCGCCAGGACTCGGGGCCCTTAACCGCCGCAACCAACCGATTGGGAGGTGGGCATCTTGTTTTTCCAATTCCCGAAAGACTATAATGTACATGGGACTGATAAGCAGCAATGCAACAACGGCTGCAAAGCAGTTCCTAAAGCACCAGCAGTGGTTTTCTCCTTCTTGCTCTTCAAACAGCTCTTGAAACCCCTCGATTGAGCAAATCATCAAATTGTTGAATAGGGAAACGCATGTAAAAGGTCTCTTCCAAAACAACTACCAGCACCAAAACGACATCAACCGAACATCAACCGATACTCCTCAAGACAAAAACTAAAGTTTGTAAACACGTACATGTGACAAAGCGCCTGGCGCACATTCCTACTATTACACGCCAACCTTCAAATCCCCCAGCCCAGCCCAACCCAACCCACGCCTCCTCGACCACCACCGCGCCCCCAACATGCACGCTCCAACACCCGCTGCCTCCTCCTCTTGCCTCTCCTCACTTCACCCCTCCCTCTCCTCATTTCACCTCTTCAACCTCCTCCTCCTCCTCCGCTCTTTCCTCTCAATTCTCCTCCACACTCCCAGTCGCCGACAACACCACCCGCTGCCTCTCCTCCTCCCCGCCCCCACCCGCAGCCCCCACCGCCACCAACACGCCTCCCTCCACCTCACCACCCTGCCCCCCACGCCGTGAAGACCACCTACCGCTCTCCGCCTCCTCCTCCCGCCGCCTGCGCTCCTCCTCCTTCTCCGCCTCCGCCTCCTCCTCCTCCGTCCTCACCCGCACCGCCCCCGCCTCGCCTCCCTCCCCCCTGCCGCAGGGGTCCCAAGAAAGCACCAGTCGGGTGCCGGGGGGGAACTTGCGGTGCAGCAGCGCGTCCGACAGCGGGTCGTCGATCAACCTCACAATCGCCTGCCTCAGCGGCCTCGCGCCATACTCCTCGCTCCACCCCTCCGCCACAATCCTCTCCACCAGACCCGACCCCAGCCGCAGCTGCAGCCCCCGCTCCCCCGCGCGCCGCTTGGTCTCCTCCAGCAGCACCCCCGCGATCTGGGCCACATGGGCGCGACTGAGGCGGCGGAAGACGATGGTTTCGTCGAAGCGGTTCAGCAGCTCGGGCGAGAAGAAGGAGCGGACCTCGCCCATCACCTCCTGCTTCAGCTTGTGAGCCTGGGAGTGGAGAAGAGGAGGGAGGAGTGGAAAGAGTTCCAAGACTGAAAGGAGGGGAGGCAACTGGAGGGGGAGCACGCATGTAAAACAAAGAGGGAGCGAGGGGGGGGGTGCGTGACACCCATGCCTATTCACGCACACATGCACCCCCCAGATGACCCCCGCCTCCCCACCTGCCACGCCTCCATCCGCTCCTCCTCCTCCGCACTCGCTCCGCCCCCGCTCCGCTGCGACGAGGTGAACACACCGCCCGCCCGGCCGCCCCCGCTGCCCGCCGCTATGAGCCGCGAGCCGATGTTGGAGGTCAGGATGACCATGGCGTTCTTAAAGGACACGGTGCGGCCCTGCAGAGGGGGGGCGGGGGGGGGGGGGGAGAGGGAGCGGAGAGGGAGAGGGCAGGGGAGTTAGCGGATAGCGCAGAGTTGAGTGTGTCTTGCTTCCTCACTCTTTCCTCACTCTCTTGAAGGCCCTGGCTCACCAGTAAGCATGATGTCCAACGGGTAATCGGTTGTCCGGCCTACACCTGCCCATCCCTCTCTACTCCTCTCTCCTCCCTCCCCTCCCCCCCACCGCGTACCTGCGAATCCGTCAGCCGGCCGTCCTCCAGTATCTGCAGCAGCACCGCAAACACCTCCGGGTGCGCCTTCTCCACCTCGTCGAACAGTACGACACAGTGCGGCCGCCGCCGTACCGCCTCCGTCAGCTTGCCGCCCTCGCCGAACCCCACGTAGCCCGGCGGCGCGCCGATGAGCCTGCTGACGGAGTGCCGCTCCATGTACTCGCTCATGTCCAGCCGCAGCAGCGCGTCGGAGGAGCCGTAGTAGGTGTGGGAGAGCACCTTTGCGAGCTCCGTCTTGCCCACACCTGGGCGGGGTGCAGGGGTTTGCATGAGAGCGGGGGGAGGTAAAAAGACGAAAATAACAAGCTGTATGACGAGGCTTCTTGGTGGGTTGGGAGGGGGAATGTCAAAGACCGTGCCAAACCGTAGGAAGCAGGGAGAGGAGATGCCAGCCCGAACCCAGCTCGCTAGCCCTTCCAGCCGAAGCAAAAGCCTTACGTACAGAGGACAGCAAGCCCTGTCAACCATGCATCCCGCTCTCCGACCATGCACGCCCCCTCCACACGGTCAGGTGTTGTTTCGTCTTTATCCCCTCCACACCGCCTCCCCCCACCCACCCGTGGGCCCCACCAGTGGGCTCCACCCTTCACCCCCTCAGTCAGCTAGTTGTTCCCTCTTCACCCCCCCCCCCCACACACCCTTCCCCCCTCCTGCTTTCCCCCTCCCCACCCCCCACCCCCCCTCACCCGTGGGCCCCACGAACAGCAGCGACGCCACCGGCCTCCGCGGGTCCTTCAGTCCGCACCGCGCGCGGCACAACGCGGCAGTGAGCGACTCCACCGCCTCCGCCTGACCCACCACCCGGGAGGACAGCAGCGAGCGCTGCGGACATGGGCGCATGGAGGGGAGAGGGGAGGGCGGGGTGAGAACGTGTGATGCGATATTGGTCAGAGAGAAGAGCCCTTGTCGTTGACTGTCTCTTTGTTCAAACCTGGAAAAGGCCTACACACCAAGCCGCCCACCACCCTCCCCCTCCCCCTCCCCCCTCCCCCCTCCTCCTCCTCCCCTGCACCCCCTCCCCCTCCCCCTCCCCCTCCCCCTCCCCCTCCCCCTCCTCCTCCTCCCCTGCACCCCCTCAGTCACCATGTTGACTAGCTTGTCCCGCTCGTCCTCGCTCATCCTCTCCAGCGGGATGCCGCTCCAGGCCGACACGATGGCCTCAATGTCGCCCACATCCACCACCGGCAGCACCGCACCCTGGGAGGGCGGGCCGGACAGCTCGGACCTGAGACGGGGGAGGAGGGGCAGGGGGGAGGGGGGTCAAGGCAAGGCATTAGAGAGCGTAGGGACGAGTCAAGGCAAGGCATTAGGGAGAGTGGGCGGCGGGGGCGAGCAAGAGTGAGAGAGAGAGGGGCTGCCAACCGGCAACCTGCGTTAGAAAGGAGAAGAGAAGTGACACCATCCCCCTCCCCCCCACCCCCCCACCTGTAGTCCACCTCCCTCCTCCTCAGGATGCCCGCCTCCTCGAACAGCCCTTCCTTCACCGCCTCGTCCTTGCTGGCCAACACCTGCAGGTACTCGCACAGCTTGGGGTGGGGGGACTGACCCTGACCCTGACCACCTCCTTGCTGCCCTTGTCCTTGCCCCTGCTGTTGTGCAGCACTGCTTCCACTTCCGCCGCTGCTGCTGCCGTTGTTGCCGTTGATGCCACCACCCTGGGAGGGAACAGGAGCCATCTGCAGCACCACCCCCCGCTGCAGCCCCTGAACATGCCCCACCTGCCCTCCCTGACCCCGCCCCTGCCCCTGCTGTCCCCGCCCCTGCGCCCCCTGCTCCTGTCGTGCCATGTACGCCGCGATACGCGCCCGGCTGCCCGCCTCGTCCATCAGGTCGATGGCCTTGTCGGGCAGGAAGCGGTCCGCGATGAAGCGGGAGGAGAGGGACACGGCGGCGGCCAGCGCCTCGGGCGTGTAGGCCACTCGGTGGTGCCGCTCGTAGCGCTCCTTCAGACCCTGATAGGGGGGGAGGAGGGAGGGGAGGAGAGGGGGGGGAGGGGGGGGGTGAGAAGCCTGCATGGTGCACTTTGCATCAGGCAGCCCAAGGGCGGCTCCAAGGGAGGTACCGCCTCGCTCACTGCCCTCCCCTCCCCCCACCCCACCAGCGTACCAATGCACCCTGAAGGCGCCCTTCACACCCTCGACTCCTCCGCCGCCCTCTCCCCTCCCCCCATGTCCAGCCTTGCCTCCTGTTTACCTCCTTTCTCTCCCCCTCCCTCATCCCTCATCCCCTTATCCCTCAGTCAGTTAGTTGTTTCCTCTTTACCCCCTCATCCACACAGCCAATCTCCCCTTCCTTCCCCCCACCATACACCTTGTCAGCTTCCTCTTCCCCGCCCCTACCATTAGTATGTCCAGCGCCGCCGCCTCATCCGGCTCCTCCACCAGCACCGGCTGGAACCTCCGCTCCAGCGCCGCATCCCGCTCAATGTGCTTGCGGTGCTCGTCCAGGGTGGTGGCGCCGATGACCTGTTTGGAAGGGGGGTGAGGGGAGGGGGGTGAGAATCTGAGGAAGGAGGTGCGGGGGAGGGGGAGAACAAGTGCTGAGAGATGGGGCAGCTGGTACCAAGCACTGTTGACAAGGAGAGACCCCCAGAGACATCCAGCGACCCCCTACACGCCCCTGCACGCCAAGCACCCCTCCTCCCCCAACTTGTTTTGCCCCAACTTGTGGATTCCATATGGTTCGGGATCATCTTTGACCGCCCTCCTTCCCCCCTCCCCCCCCTCACCTGGAACTCCCCTCTCGCCAGCGCCGGCTTGACCAGGTTGGCGATGTCCAGTCCGCCCCCGCCGCCCCGCCCCCCACTGCCCGCCCCCACCAGCGTGTGGATCTCATCGATCCTGGGGGGGGGAGGGGAGGGGAGGGTGGGGGGTGAGGGGAGGAAACACATGGGGGAGGCGGGGGTGAGGGGAGAGGAGGATGGCAGGCATCAAGGGTGCCACAAGGGACATGCAGCTAGGGCGTCTTTGTCAGGAGGGAGGACACAAGACCCAGACCCAGTGCCCCCAGCACCCAGGAACTCCCCACCCTACCTCCACCGCCAGGCAATACCCCAACCTTCACCTCCACCCCTCTCCCACCCTCCCCCCCCCCGACCCACATGAGAATGATGTTGCCCGCCTGCTTCACCTCCCTCCCCCTCCCACCCCCCCCCGACCCACATGAGTATGATGTTGCCCGCCTGCTTCACCTCCGCTATCAGCTTAGTGACTCGGGACTCCAGCTCCCCTCGCTCCTTGGCACCTGGGGGAGGAGGTGGGGGTGGAGGGCGGAGGACGGTTGGTGGGGCGGGATGAGGGCGGTATAACGGTTATGTGGGGTTACTCCCGATCCCGACCCATGGGTCTCTCCCTCCCGCCACCCCCCTCCCTCCCCCCCCCTACCCGCAATGAGCAGCCCCACGTCCAGCTGCAGGATCCGCTTCCCCTCCAGGAAGGCCGGCAGCGGGGCGCCCTCCAGCGGGGTGCGCCCCACCACCGCCGCCGCCAGCCCCTCCGCGATGGCCGTCTTGCCCACCCCCGGCTCGCCCAGCAAGATGGGGTTGTTCTTGGTGCGGCGGGCCAGGATCTGAACCACACGGGACACCTCGCGCTCGCGACCCACCACCTGGGGAGGGGGAGGGTTGGAGGGAGGAGGAGGGGATGGGGAAGGAGGATGTGGAGGAGGAGGGGAGGAGATGGGGCGACGGATTTGGCCCGGCTGTATGTGGTCATTTCCCCTATCTGCCTGAATGGCCAATGTTGTTCCCCCCCGCCCCCGCCCCATCCTTCTCCCACCTCTCGCCTCTTTTCACCTCCAAGCTCCAACCCTGCCCTCCCCCTCCCCCCCTCACCGGGTCGATGCGCCCCGCCGCCACCTCCGCACACAGGTCGCGGCAGTACTCCTCGGTCATGCGGGGACCCTCCTTGGGGGCGGAGGGCTGCAGGGGGGGAGGGAGGGAAAGAATACCCAATGGGGAGGGGAGGGAGAGGGGAAGGGAAGGCGGTAAGAGGCGGTGAGGAGAGGAAGAGGACGCAGGTCAATGAAGCTGCTGCGGGAAGGAGGCGGATGATGGAGGCCACGTGCATTTAGGGAAGTGGAGCAGCTTAGTAGAGGAAGCTTAGCAATGATAGTTATAAATTGGTTGGGTTTCCCTTACTGCCCACCCTCACCTGTTTCTTCTTGGCCTGCTCCGCGTCCGAGTCGCCCTTGAGGCGGCGTTGCGCCTCCGCCTTGAGCAACTCCACATCGGCGGACAGACTGTACGACACCATTTCGCCATGGTTGCGTGGAAGCAGTAGGGGAGCAAGGCGGAAGGAGTTGGGGAAGGGAGGAGAAGGATGATTGGGCGAAGGGGCAGGTCAGGGAAAAGCAGGGATGTCGACAGGGAAGGCGGTTGTAAAGTACCGGTAGGGTTGAAGAGAAGGGCTCGTCATAATGACGCAATGCAGTCCATCGAGAAAGACGGGCTAGAAAGGTGCTAGATACGGCTGATTACTGATGTTGAGAGACTTACGAGGTGAGCACGCGCCGGCCATTGCAGTCCGCCATCGAGAGCATGGCTAGCAGAATGTGCTCCGGCGAAATGAAGTTGACATTGGAGCGTTTGCATTCCTGAGATCAGAATAAACATGTACCGATCTAAGCGTAATGTTTGGACAAATGGTCAATTGCCAAAGTCAACCGCCAATGCGACGCGTTTACCGTCACGCAAGGAAAAGATGTTGAGTCAGCGGAATACAATTACCCGAATACCACTTGCTCAGAAGTTAGCTGATTAAACATCAAGGACCCGCCACCTTCCGGTGGCGCGCAACATCACCTACGTGCGTCGCTGCCTCAAACATCTTGCGGACGTCACGGCTGAAAGGAATGCTTTCACCGTTCGTAATAGGCCGCTTCCGGCCGAACATGGCCTCCACAGTGGCTTTGGCGCGCTCACTTGACACTCCACTGTTCAAGTAGCCGTTCTTACTTAGGCTCTCCTCCGCAACCAGTCCAAGCAAAATGTGCTCCGTGTTGACCTAAAGGTGGTTGACAGCTCAGAGAAAACGCTTTTCGGACACGTAAGAGAGGGGGATGTCGTGCGCACCTCCATGTGCCCGAACGCCTTTGCCTCCGTCTGAGCAATCATGACCGTCTTAATGGAACGCTCCGTAAACCGCTCGAAAACTGCCTGCACCCTGAGGGCCTGCCTGCGGCTGATGGTGAACCGCTGCGGCCGCGGGAGCTTGGAACTCAACTGCAGCGCGGCCTGTCGCTGTCCCGCGCTGGGGGCATGAAGTAGTGCGCGGTGTAGCAGCTGTGCACGAGGAGCCCTGGAAAGACATCTAGACACAAGACCCCGCACCGCGCCAGCGGACCGGGGTTTGAGGTCAAGGGCTAGCGACATCCGCGCGAGCGACTCAATAATGTTACTTCTTCTATAACTCCTGTATAGTTTATGTATTTAAGGAAACGACGGTCTTGGCAAGTATGATCATAACGAGAGCGAATGACGCATTCGGCGCCTGCCGAAACAAATATCCGACACCGCTGTGTACGATCAGCAGGACGATACGCTTGCGATTTCCTGAGCCTCAGTCATTGTAACCACTCATCCTACTGCTGTCAATGGAAAGTAAAATGCATGGTACTTTCGCTCTAAGCCTCTCTTACAAAGCTCAACAAGAATGCGTGACAAGGCATTGCAGGCAGCACTAATGGAGGGCAGTACTGCCTGTAATACTTCAATATAAGTATAATTTCTTGCACTTTTAGCATTAACGAAGTCTTCCTATCGTGACGCCCCAAGGATGGCTGTTGCTAGGTGCAGGCAACCCAGAATAACGCTGCAAATCTCGCACGTAGATGGCTGCCACAGGCTACGTAACACTCATAAAGGCGCGCAGCTACCTGGTACAGTCATGCGCTGGCTGACTCAACCCCCAGTGATAGTATCTTATCAAGGGAAGCTATGGGCGCTCTTCTTTCCCGCAACACAGCGTTTTGAGCGTGCACACGCGTGCAATGCGGCATCATTAAATCACACCTCTTCCCACTCTTTCTCTGGAGTGTTACAGGCAACACGGGCTTGCCCGTGCACAAGCGCACACCTGCATTTGAAAGATGCAATACCAGGGCTGCGTCTGCCGTCTCCAAACGACCCACATCAAAAGCTCCAGAACGATGCGTTTCCAAAACCCACGCAAAAGGGGCAACCTGATGTTCCAAAGGCACACAGCCTCGAACCGAGGGAGACAAATCGTGTGGTACCGCGGCACCCTCCTGCCTTACCCCCACGAAAATACCCCGGCCGCGGGAACAAGGAACACCCAACGAATAACAAGTGAACCAACCGAATGAACCGAGGAAAACTAGCGGCAGCTGCAATGTATTTATGCATTTCGTGCCTATGCGTGTATTGTGCACATGCACATGCCTGCCCTTCTGCACTGATCTGATGGACTATCAACAAGAGCAAATGTCAGACAAAGTGTGAGTGAGACAACAATTAACCTGCGACATCATCATTATGATTCTTAGGAACAACAACAGCAACAACAGCGTCCCTCTCTGCAGGCCCCTCCGCAACTGCCCCTCCGCCCCAGCTACTGTCGTCCCTCCACTCCAGCTACTGCCCCCGCTTCACAGCTTCCACAGCGCATACCCCATCACCGCGGCCGCCACCAGGCCAGCAACCGTGCGCACGTTGTGCACCGGGCCCCTGCGCAGCGGCGGCAGGGTGGGAGGAGAGAGTGGGTAAGGAAATGGAAGGGGGCACGAGGAGGAAAGGGTGACGGTGAGTGGGCGACCTCGGGTGGGGCGAGGAAGTTGAGAAACACATGGGGCATGGGAGACGGGACCATGGGGTTTTGGGACTTTCGTAGCTTGCTACACCGCTTACGGCACTCATCACGGGCCGGGGAAGTTGCAGTGCAGGCCAGGTAGTCGCCTGTCTGACTATTGACCACTGCCCGCTCCTGAAGCGAAACGCTTTCCGCCCCTTCTTAATGGAAGACCCCGCCCGCCCTCCCGCCCTGCGCACCACGCCTTGAGTGTCTCCTCCTTGGCCGCCTCCCCCTTCTCCGCAGCCGCCATGATGGCCTTGTTGAGCGGCATGATGGCGCCGAACGTCCAGGGCAGCACGCCCAGCATGAGCGAGCCGGACAGCAGCCACAGCAGGCGCTGCTGCTGCGAGGCGGCGGGTGAGGCGACGGACTGCGCTAGGGCGCCACCCGCGCTGGCCTGAGGTACGGCAGGGGGCAGGCAGGGGAGCAGAGTTGATGGTGAGAAGTGAAGCAGGCAGCGCAGGGAGAGGAGGAGGAGGAGGAGGAGCGAGGAAGAGCGAGGGAGGGGTAATGTCCAAGTTAAATATTTCAGGAGCCCGCGCCTCCCGTCGAAGCTTTGCAGCTACCAAGCAGGCGACCCGAAAGGGTCTCACCAAGCACCCGCCAACGGCCCACACCACTCACCAGAACCAGCACGGACTGGAACTTGGCAATCTTGGGGAACATCTGCAGTGTGGGAAGTGAAGCAGGGAGGGAGCAGGATCGAGTGCAGAAACAGGGAGGAGGATTCAGAGCAGAAAGATGGGTGGGTCAGACAGGGTTAGGGTTGGGGGTTTGGCGGTGGCGATGCGATGGGAACTCAAGCACTGTAAGCAACGTCCCACGCGGGACACGCAGGACGTGTGTAGGTCGGGAAGCTAGGCACAAAAGCGCGCATGCCCGCCTGCCTGCCGTACCGGGAGTTAAGCACTTTCGCACCTTGTTGAACCAAGCCGTGTAGGCCGCTGGGCCCGCCTCCAGGCCGCCAGGATGGGCGACGAACGTCCAAGCAGCTGCGGTGGATGCGAAAGCAATCGATGACGACAGAGCCACCGTCGCGGGAACTGGAAGAGGCGGCATTCTTGTTCAACTCTCGAGAGTTCCAACCGTCGGAGCAGGGGTTGGCTAAGCTATTTTTGCTGGGAGGGAAGTGGCAAGTTTTCCGTAGCAAAATTGCTACATATATGATACGGCTTGTTGGCTTAGGCGTGGATTATGACAGGCACATCGAAATTGACGTTTCCGTACCTTTCCAACTTTTCGCCTTCCTTGCATCAATAACACAATTGGCACCCATATCTCCAGATGAATCCGGACCGTAGTTATATATACATCAGGAACAGAGTAACCGGTCATTTGCACAAGAAAGTTTCGCCATCCTAAAGTATTTGTAGCGTTAGCAGGGCGTCACACGGTTGGATCCTAGGTGCATATGTGTCTAAGGAAGCTGGTGTATGCGATCCATTAGGATCCATCTCCTGCAAAGGCCGACTTCTTTAATGCCTGGATGGGATGACAACCAACACAGACCGACTATGCGTCAGGCCACAGCAATCCCGTCGGTCCGGGTAGCCTACAGTATGCGTCAAATGGTAAAACTGGTCAAGTAAGGCTCCGCCTGTGATTTGCTGTTTTCTTTGGACAGTGGCCGAATGGACTGTTGCCAATCCTTTGTCCTGTTTACAAAGCAAGCTCGTCTTACTCCCGGGTTTCCTGCCCCAAACAGCCATTGCACAAGGACAGAGAGACCACCACTTCCCTGCGCAGGAAGAACCCAGATGGGGCGAGCCGCCTGGCAACAGGAGTGAGTCTACTCCTGGTCAAACCTAAACCCCCCTATAGCTCCCGATAAACCCGTATCATGAGTCAGCAGCGACACGAACATCCACGACAGGCCCGCAACGACACCGTCTTCAAAAATGCAAAAATGCAGTGGCCATAACCGTGCAGCAGCTGCCCCAGGCTACGCACTCGGCCTTAGCACTCCACACCGTCCCTAACCGTCCGCACATTGCTGACCGTTATGCAGTATGACAGTGTCGATAGCATGCAAAAAACTGATGATGAAGGAAAGCAACCCAAGCAAACAGGCGACGATGTCAAAGCCCATGGCCAGTAAGCCTCGAAGGCACGCCCTTCACAGTGCGCAGTCGCCCAATGGGATCTCAATCCTCCTCACGACGAGAGCAGCCGCAGGGACTTGGTAGCCCTCAGCATGGCATGGTTTGCCCCATGCTGCTCGTGTTTGGGTGTCCTACAACTTAAACACCGTCTGTACATGCGAGCTATATCGTACGCGTCTCGCCCAGAACACAGCGGCACAAGGCCCCGCGGTGATGCCCCGTCATGAGGCGCCCATTGAGTGCCATGTCGCACCAAGTGGGCTACGTTGCATCGTCTCAACCCCAGCTAACGGGATAACTGGGGCAGCGGGCACTGCCTGCACTTGTCCCCTGCGTTCCAAGAGCAAAGCAAAGCTGCGCAAAGCTTGCTTAGAATGTCGAATGATGAATCATGACAGGTCTGCTTGTACCTCACTCCTCCTTCGGGGTGTCGCGCTGCTCATGATGTAGGTGCTATAAGTCGTCTGGAGGCTTGTCGCCAGATGTATTTACTTTAAGGGCGCTCTGCGTATCGCGAGGTGCCGTAAATAGGTTGCATCCTGTGCGGTCATTGCAGAGACGAAACGAGGTGGCTGACAGCACGCGCTAGTGGAGAGTTGGCGCTGGTCTATTCCGATTCTTACTTACTCCGTCCTCGCCATCGCCATCCTCAGCGCTGTCTGTCGTTGCAACGCCGCGATGCTGCAATTGCCCCAAGGAAAGTAACCCATGTTAATCGTCGCAACTGCTATTTAAATAAGTGTACTAAGCTACACTGTTACCTGTGCGACGGATCCCAGAACGGATAGCGAGCCGGTCACTGATGGCGCTGACGCCGCAAAGCCCATCGGGGCGTAAGTTGGCGCAGCAGGTACCTACGGTTAAAACAGCAGATGTTTTAAAATGTAACCCATATAACATGAAATGAAGAAAACCGTAGGTTCGCCCTACCTGAACTCCGCACGACCGAAGGCTCCCCATCACAGCTTGGCAGCGTGTGGCAGACCCAGTTTGTAGCTTTCCTGCTAAGGAGTTAAGCATAAAGCTAGAGCTTCCATGGCTGCTGCCGGCACTGCCCCGGGCTGCTGATTGCAGCCCCGCCAACGCACGGGATGCGCCGCGTAACAAATTCCGCTGCGACATTTTGCGCCTTAATATCGAGTAACTTCAGCTGCTAGTTTTCACCGGTACCCAGATTAAGCTGCTAGAGATTACTCCTGGTTGACGACCGGTTGTCGTAACACCGTACAGGTTGTACAGTCCGCGTCTGACTAAGCCTCTCATGGTTTCCAGCAAACACAGTAACCGTGGCAACCTGTCATTCGGCAATCCCAATCCAGCCCCTCTTACCTGTCTTTGCAGGGTACCTGTACCTGCTGCAAGAAGGCCCGAACGGCTAAACCAAGCCTGATCACACGGGCTTGGATGAGCCAACGACCGGCGGCCTTGGGACAGAGACAGTCAACACCCGCACCATTTGACATTCTTAACCATCTTTTAAAGAATGCTGATGACCGCAAGCTGACCCCTTCGTGGACAACAGTCAATCGGCAATTTCATAGAGCCCCAGGAGGGCCCTGCAGCATTCAACACATGTCCGGCAGTACCGGCAGCAGTAGTACGGCACCACCTCCCGCGTCCCTCCGCTAGCCGCAACGGAATCCGTTCCACAACGGCAACCTTCCCCTCCGCAGTCAAACAGAAGACTCACCCACTAAGGGGTGCCGTGATGAACACACGAAGGCTCACCATCCTTCACACACCGCCCATGCATAGCAAGAAGGAACCTAAGAAACGAAATGAGAAGAGAAGAGCTCACAAGCTTTCACGGCATCACGTCACACCTCGAGAACTACAGCGGGTGGCTCCTCACACAGGGCAAACTCCTGAACATAACTACATGCCTTCGCCGTTCCGTACTTGAAGAAGCAGCCATCCCGAACCCCACCACATCTCGAGTTCCCAACCCCCCGATCGGTTCTTGGAATGCAGACCTCACCCCGACACCGCTTTCCCCACACGTGCAACGACAAGACAAAGTACTGCGCCTTAGTAAGGAATAACCTGTCAGAAAACTTGATGGTTCAGTACAGTCAGAGTACAACAATGCAACAAGAAGACGAGTCCAAGAGCCTCTTCCCGCCCTGCCCTCCCCAGCAGTCTCTCCCCACGTTAGCCTCCCCCCCTCCCTCCCTAGCCTTGTCACACCGTTAGCTCATTGCCTCCTCTTTACCTCCCCCCCTTTCCCTTCCCTTTCCTACAGTCTGGTACGCTCCTCAACCCCCCTTCCCCCCCTCCCCCTCCTACACCACCAGATACCTCTCCATCACCTCCCGCGCCAGCTCCACTGCCCCGCTGCTGCGGTACAACTGAACCAGGTTGTGAGCCACCTCTCGTCGCAAGTCCCAACGAGAAGAGCCCAACACACCGCCACCGGCACCAGCAGTGCAGGAGGCGGCGGCGGCGGCGCCTGCGGCGCCGGAGCCATGCAGCCCGCATGCAGCGGCGGCTGACGCCGCCGCCGCCGCTGGCGGCGGCACCGCCGGCGGCGCCGCCAACGCCGCTTCGTAGTACGCATGCGCGATGTGCAGCAGCCCCAGCTGATGCGCCGCGCGACCGAAATTAAACGCGACTTCCTGGCTCAACGCCTCCCCTCTCGCGCGTTGATACGCCTGCAGGAACGCAAACCCCGCGAGCACACCCCGATTGCGATCCCTTCCCGCCGCCGCCGCGGCAGCGGCGGCACCTCCTCCCCGTCCCCGCTGCACCCCCGCCGCCGCCGCTGCCGCCGCCGACGGCTGCTGCTGCTGTTGTTGGGGTGCGGGTTGGAGGGGCATGGTAGCGGTGGTGGCCATGGCTTCCGACAGCAGCGCGACGGAGAGGCAGAGCAGCAGCAGCGGCTCCCCGGGCAGGAAGCGGTAGGCGTGGAATAGCTCGGAGGCGGCCTCGCTGAACTGCCGGGCGAGCAGGAAGACGTGACCCTGGGGGGGCGGTGGGGGGCAGAAGGAGGTGGTGGTGGTGGCGGGATTGGGGAGTTATTGGGGATACATATTCCGCATTAGACTGGATAGGTGGTAATAGTGTGGATAGCTAACCCAAATTGGGGATGGGAGGAGCGAAACGGGAACCAGTCCGGTGGGGGATGGCACGGGTTGGTTTGCCCCTGCTACGGTAACCCTTTATGCTTGCTTTCCTTTTTTACACAACATCCAAACCCTCCCACCCCCGTCCCCGCACCTGCAGCACCATGAGCGGTACGCTGGTGGGGTGTCGCCGCCTCAGCGCGCTGACGTGTGAGGCCCAGGCGCGAAGGTCTCCCCCACCCGCATGCGCGCTGCAGTACAGGTTCCACAGCCCCACACTGTACGGCCAACGGGAGGTGAGGGAGCGGAGGGCGGCGGCCTGGGCGGCGGCCAGGGGGGGCGCGAAGGAGGAGGAGGTGGGTGCGGCTGTTTGTGGTGTTGTTGTTGTTGCTTCGGTTGCTGCTGCTGGTGGTGGTGGTGCTGCTGCTGCTGTTGGTGGCGCTTGGGAAGGAGGAGCAGGAAGAGGAGCAGTTGGAGGAGGAGCAGCAGCAGCAGGAGGTGGGGGTGCAGCCATGCTTGCTAGCTCAAGCTGTCCCATGCGCAGCCGATCCGCCACCGCTCGTTCGAACCAGGAGGTAACCACATCTCCACCGCCACCGCCTCCACCACCGCCACCGCTGTTGCGATTGGCTGCGGGTGCTTCCTTTGCGTGTGAGGAGGTGACGAGGGCGATGGCTCGGTCGAGCAGCGAGCTGCGTGGAAGAGGGAATGGGGGGTTAGGCTAGGATTGGGGGCCATGTGGAGAAGCGGGTATTGCCCCCTGTGCCACCTGGATGGATGTGTCCCTAGCGTCTTCCCGTCCCTCCCCGCCACCTCCCTCCCGATACCTCGCTCCCCCCCCGCCCCCCGCCCCCACCTCGCCTCCTCCATGCGCCCCGTCAGCGCCAGCGCCCGGGTCAGCTGCAGCAACACCTGAGCCTGCGCCGGGTCGCTCAACACGGAGGGACCCACAAGACCCCCCCGGGGTAACCGAGGGACATTTCCTCCCCCTCCTGCTGCTCCCCCTGCTGCTGACCCGCCGCTACGACGAGCTCCCTCACCGCCGCTCATCTCCCCCCCACTCGTGTCCCCACCATCCGACCCGGCATCTGTCGTACCGCCACCACCAACCCCCCCGCCTCCGCCAGTGGGGGAATCGTACGGCAGTCCGAGTACCTCGGCGGCTTGGCGGTCGAGTTCGCGAGTGCGGGCGGTACGGCGGTCCCTGTGGGGGGTTAGGGGGTGAGGGTGTGTGTTTGTGTGTGGCAGCGGTTGTGTTTTGTTGCACGGGTAGCAACTTGGCAGGTGTCAAGATCTCAAAGAAGCATGCAAATGCGCGTGCGTACAAATCCGTATGCTAAAGGACACTGTTGAGTCTTTCATCCCCACCCAACCCCTGGGAGCCCCTTTCCTCCTCCCCCTTGCCCGCACCTCTCAACTTCCCCTCCCCTCCCCTCCCCCCCGCCCGCACCTTTTGGTGGCTCCCTTGAACACCGACCCCACCTCCGCAGCACCCTCACCTGGGGTGGGGGTGGGGGTTTGCGGGGGTGCGGGAGGGGATACGCATTAGGCTGGATAGACACGAGGTAAAACTGCACGATAAATGGCGCTAGAGAGAACGAGAGATACAGCACGAACGGCAAGGAACCACACTCCTCCCCCCTCGTCACCCCCTCAACCGTCACCCCCCACCCGCCCCCCACCCACCCTTGCGTCCCCCCCTCCTCGCAAACATCCTCCTCCGCTGGATGGCCCGCTTCAGCGATCGCGGCAGGGCGGGGTCGCTCACGCGCGCCAGGTCCGCAGCCAGGGCGGTCAGGGAGGACTCCACGGAGGGGCGGATGCACTGCACGTACCTGTGTGTATGGGGGTTTGTGGGGGGGGGGGGGGGTAAAAGGAGGAAACTGACGAGCTGTATGACGAGGGGTGTGTTTCGTGTGTGGGGGAGAAGGGCATATGTGGCAAGACGACAGCCGAACGATGGAGGTGTCCCAACAGCCGCCCAAACACCCGCCCGTTTCCTCCTCACTTCCTCCCTTTCCACTCCCCCTTGCGGGCGCACGTTCACCGCCTCCACCACCTCCAGCCCCCTCCCCTCCCTCCTCCCTCCCACCCACCCCCCCCACCTGTCCAGCAGCCCAAGCCCCAGGTACAGCTGACTCAGCCGCATGGCTAACTCCTCGCCCAACACAACCGCAGCCAGCGAGGGACCCGTGGGTCGGCCGCCCTCGGAAGCACCCTCACCCCCGCCCCCAGCTGCCGCATGCTGCGCCTGCAGGTATACGTCCAGCAGCTCCACCATCTCCAGGGCGGTGGAGTGACCCGTGGGTCCGCCCAGCTCCATGCAGTGCTCCGCCAGACGCAACACCGCACCCGGGTACCTAGGATGGGGGCGGAGGGGAGTTGGAAGGAGGGGCGGGAGGAGGGTGGGGGTGAAGGGGGGATCCGAACCATAGGAAAGCACAGGTAAGGGCAAGGAGGGGCCGCGAAGCGGGGTTCAAAGTCCACCCTCTTCCGCCCTACCCCGTGTAAAACCCCGTGTCCCACCGCACAAACCCACACGTCCCCCCCCCATGCACATTGAACCCCATACACATTTCCCCCCTCCCCCTTTCTTTCCCCTCCCCCTCCTCCCCCCTCCCCTCCCCATATATATTTTTTACCCCCACCTTGCATCCGCCGGATCCATCGCCTCCAGCTGCCCCCGGTACAGCGCCACTCCCTCCCCCGCCCGGCCCCCCGCCACGTGGCTCCCCAGCAGCTGGCTCCACAGGCCCGGCTCGCTGTAGTCGGGGTGCCCGAGCAGGGGGGTCAGGTACTGCAGGGCCCTGTGCAGGGGGGGGAGGGGAGGGAGGGGGTGCATGAGGATTAATAGGAGGGTTGCATGGGGGGTTAGAGGTTGGGGGAAGGGAAAAGCAGGGGGGCAGGAAAACACAGCCCAGCCGGCCGCTCACAGCCCTGCCGTCCTCGCCCCCGCATGCCACAGCGGACCCGCGCATGCCGGCCCCCCTTTTCAGCTCCTATGCAGCCCTCCCCTTTCCACCTCTCTCCCCACCTCTCCACTCCCCCCTCTGACTTGCCATGCCGCCTTCCCCTCCCCCTCCCCCCTCCCCCCTCTCACTTGTCATGCTGCCCCAGTCCCGCCAGCGCCGCCCCCACGCTGCCGTACAGGTCCCCGAACTGCTCCACCGGCTCCCGCAGCAGCTCGCCCAGCACCTCCTCCGCCTCCTCCCACCGACCCGTGTGGGCCAGGCAGAGGCCTGCATGGAGGGGGAGGAGGGGGAGGGGGGGGAGGGGGAGGGGGGGGAGGAGGGGGAGGAGGGAAAAATATAGATAAATGGAGTAAGAACAGAGGAACCTGACGAGCTGTATGGCATGTAGGCTTCACCTCGGGGGGTGCAAACACGGTAGCCGACCCATCCCGTCCTGCCCATACACACACACGCACATGCACTCGCGGCCAGTTATTTTAACACACGCACATGCACCGCACACCCTTCCAACCCTTCCTCCCCGGCCTCCCCCCCCCCGCACCTGCTTTCACAGCCAGGTCCAGCGGCAGAGCCTGATCAGGACACAACACCGGACCCGCCCGCTCGATGAGCGCACGGGCCTCCGCATAGCCGCCCTGGGGGTGGGTGGAGGGGGTGGGTGGGGGGTGAGGTGAGGAGTGGGGGTGGGAAGAGGAAACAACTAACAACCCACCCTCTCCATGTACAGCTCGAACTGCCCTGGCAACCCCTCCCCCCTCCCCTTGTTTGCTCTCATCATTCAACACCTCGGGATTCTTCTTTTCCCCCTCTCCCCCCTCCATGCTCCCCTCCCCCCCCCCTCCCCCCCCCTCCTCACCCGCTCCATGTACAGCTCCGCCAGAATGTTGATGTGGGTGAGGTCCACCCGGGCGGGGTGGTCGCGCAGGTGGGCCTCTAGGACCGAGATGGCCTGCAAGAGGGGGGGGGAAATTAAATATGTGAAACAATGAGAGGGGTTACCAAACTGGACTAGGGGAATCTGGGAAGCACAAAGGCAGGACAAGTAGGATGCAGTGAAGCCAGACGGGTATGCCTTGGTTACGGCAGTTCCCCTCCCCCCTCTCCTCCCTCACCTTCAGCGGCGCCCCTCCCCCCCACGCACACCACCACCCTCCTCCCCTCTAGCAGCACCCCCCCTCCCACCACCCCGCCCCCGTTCCCCCGCACCTTTAGCGGCGCCCCCAGCTGGTGGTGCAGCCGCGCCTGCATGACCGGCACCTCGGGGTCCCCGGGGCGGGCGCGACCCACCTCAGCGAAGTGGGCTAGCGCCTTGTCGATGTCACCAACCTGGGGGGGGGGAGGGAGGAGATGTTCATGGGGGGATGAGGAAGTGGGGGGACATGCAGGGGAAGGAGAGAGGAGTGAGCAGGGAGGCGGGGGGGCGGGGGTGCGTGTGGTGCGTGTGGGGGGCAGGAACGCAACCGAAGCGAGGGGAAGGGACGGAGTGCTGTGTCGAGAAGTTGCCGCACGGGTGTCTTCCCTGTACCCCCCTCCCCCCTCCCCCCCCCACCTGCGCGTACAGCACCGCCCTGTCCCACAGCGCATCCAGGTCGCCCCGGTCGCGGGCTATGACCTTGGACAGGCAGTACACGGCTTGCCTGGGTTGGGAGAGGGGGGCGGGCGGCAGGAGAAAGGGATAGTGTCTCTATACGCTCTTACTGCATACGAGTCGGGACGTGGGATTGGGACTCCAGTTGCTATACTGGTTTATCCCTTCGCCTCCAGTCACTTGTAGAAACCCCCTGCCCCCTTCCTTGCACTTATCACTTATCCCCCCCCACACACACACAGTTTTCTTAACACACTATCCCCCCTCCCCCCCCACCTGTAGAACCCCAGCTCCGTGGACATGGAGGCCAGGCGCTTCCACAGCGGCAGGTCGCGGGGACTCAGGTGCGCCGCGATCATGAAGAAGTCCAGCGCCTTGCGGGGCTGACCTGGGGGGGAGGGGGGGGAGGGGGAGGTAGGAAGGAGGAAGAGGAAACTGGAGGATGAGGGGGAAGCGGTGGGGCCAGGGCTTGGTAGAGCCGCCGTAGCTGCTGCTGCTGCTGCTGCGACCCCGCATGCTGTCCCTGTCCTTGAGCCCCGCCCCTGCCCTGTCTTTTCCCCCCTCGTAGCTCCCTTCTCCCCGCCCCTCCCCCCCCCTCCCCCCTCCCCCCCCCCCTCTCCCCCCCCCTCCTCCCCCGCACCTATCGCCTCATGCAGCAGCCCCAGCGTGTGGTAGGGGTCGGACACATTGGGGTGGGTCTGGACGACCTGGGGGGGGAGGAGGGCGGGGGAGCAGGTAGGGGGGCAGAGGGGGGGCCAGGTAGGTAGGAGAACTGAGGTGGGCATGGCCCCTGCACCTCCCCTGCATCTCAGGCCTGCTCATCCTTTACTTTCCCTCCCCTCCATGTTAAAGCCGTGTCGCATAACGGCATAAGCGCCTCCCCCCCCCCACCCCCCGCCCCCACCCCCACCTCCAGCAGCAGTGCAATTGCAGGCGGGTAGTCCCGCATGGCATACATCACATTGGCCTGGCCCAGCTTGGAGCTGACCTGGGGGGAGGGGGGGGTAAATGAAAAGCGAAGCAACGGAATCCTAATCCCGACTCGTGCAGTGAGGGGCGGGGAGGGGCGGGGAGGGAGGAAGGAGCTAGCCGGGTGACCGGGGAGGGAAGTGAGAAGACAGGGAGTTGTAAAGCGGGAAACCGACCCTGCAACAAAGTCCCATCCTACACGCCCTAACCCCGCGCGTGTCCCCACGCCTCCCCAATCACAACAACCTCACTCCTTACCCACCATCCCGCTACCCCCCTCCCACCCCCCCCAACCCCCCTGCCATCCCTGCTCCTCACCTCCTCCGGAATGCCCCTCCGCGGCCGGCCCCGCCTGCCCCCCCTTCCCCCCCTGCCGCGCCCCCTCCCCCGCCCCCGCCGCCGCGACCCCGGCTCCACCAGCCCCACTCGCTCAGCCAGCGGGTCGTCCAGGATGTCATCCACGTCAGCACCGAAGATGTCAGCAGCCGCGGTGGAGGCGGCGGCGCCGCCACCGCCGCGATTACCGCGGCCACCGCCGCCGCCGCCGCGGCGTCCGCCGCGGCCACGGCCGCTGCCGCCTCCGGCGGCAGCGGCGGCGGCGCTGGTACTTGGCCCCGCCGCCGCGGCGGCGGCCTCAGCGTCTTCCATTTCCTCATCACCGTCGGCGGTGGCAGCGCCGGCTCCGCCGCCGCCCTCTTCATCCGTATCGCCGCGGCGCCCTCTCCGGCCCCCCCGCCGGCCGCCGCCAGCTGCCGCCCTGCCCGCCCCCCTCCGCTGCGCCCGGCGGCGCTCCCGAAGCAACTCAAACGGCTGCCGTACATTCGTGCCGCTGCCGTACCCGCCGTACGCTCCATGCCCTGCTGCCGCCGCCGTTGCCCCCGCCGCCGCTGCGCCGCCAGGTCCCGGAACGTCCGCCGCCCCTCCGCCCTGCTGTTCCAGCTCCTCTAGTAGCGACATGGGGTCCCAGTCCTCTCCGAACAAGTCCTCTCCGTCACTGTCGTCACATGTCGTGAATCCCGACGTGTAGCCGCCGTCACTGTAAGCGCCGCCGCCGTCGGGACTGCCGCCGCGACTGCCGCCGCCACCGCGGTTCTGTTGTGCTCGGTTGCGGCTCCGAGACCCGCCGCCGCCGCCGCCGCGGCGTTTACCGCGTCCGCCGCCGTCGCTGTCGTCCGTCGATCCCGCCCCCGCCGCATCCTCCTCTCCATACTCCTCATCGTCCTCCGAGCCCTGCCCCTGCGTGTAATCCGTGTCGCCCTCGTCGTCGTCATCGTCCCCATCGGTTGCGGATTCGGATTCAGATTCCGAGCTGAAGTAGTTGGCGAGGCTGGCGGCGGCGGAGGCGCGAGGTGCCGTGCCGCCGCCGGTGCTGCTGCGGGTTACACGACCCGTTTTGGTCGCTGTGTTGGTTGTGGCGGCGGCAACGGTGGCGGTTGTGGTTGCGTCGCCTCCAACGACACCGTTGACGTCGTCCAAGTCCGGCATGGTGACGCTGGATGGATGGATGGGCCTCCTAGCTGGCTGGCTTAAATGGGCTAGTGTGGTGCTGCTTGGCAGGGAGGAAAATTATATAAGGAATGGCAGGGAGGGGGTTCGATGAGGGTGAAAGGGCAAGGAGGAGAAGGGTAGGGTCTGGATGTTAGGTTGTGTGGGGGAAGGGTTGATTTACCTGGGATTGCTTTGCAAGCTGAAGTTGAGTTCAGGGGATGGGTAAGGGATGGGAGATGGGTGTGGGCCAAGGGTGAACGGAACGCACAAGCAGTAACCTCGTGTAAGCGCGGTTCGTAAGAAGCTAGCTGGCTTTAGGGCCGACGACTTAAGCGAGAGGTGCGCAAGAACCACTTGAGCAGTACATGGGTTCAACTGAAGGCATCGCACCAGCGTTCTTCCTCTTCACTGGGGTCAACAAGATCAACTCGCTATAATAGCAAGGTCGCTTTATGTGTTAGACGTAATAGATACGCCGGGCGCCAAGTTGTGCACAAGTTCACCTGAGGGATTTGCCCCGCCCAGCAAAGCCGAAAGCGCCTCGTCCTAATCTGCTAGCAGGGATACCAGTTATTCATCTTATTGTTATTAACAAAGAGGATTCCATCAATAGAGCATGACTATGGCATAGTCATACTGGCGCGCAAAAGCAGATAACGTTATTTTTCTGGTTATACATGTAAGTGGCATCCATCTTGTCTTCTGTTGCACCTAGGCCATGATTGGCGCAGAGGTCAAAGTACGGCGCCGATATACGCCGTACGTTGACGAAGCCCTTGCCTTTTACTTGTCCACTCGCTTCCACGCAAACCAAAAAACACTGTGGCTGCAAAGAGAAGTAGTCAAGTAGTGCAGACAAATAGCATTTTGGGCTGTAGGCAACTCAAACATCCACCATAAACTTGCGGCCCAATGCGCCATTGTCGCTCTCGCACAGCCAAGCTGCTATTACTAGCATGCTGCGTGTTGGTCGTCTCCAACGCTGCGCATGCGTCGGGGTGGGGACGGCTGAGCAAGATTGGCTCCTGGCTGCAACCTCAGTCCAAGCGAGCGCCAGACGTCTTGTCAGGATATGCGCGTTATGATGAGGCATCTGGGACACTTACCTTCGTTAAAGGGCTGGCCGGCGGCCCTCGCGGTACGTTCAATCGATGGAAGCCCTAGTTTAGCGAAATCCCCGTTGCCTGAGGGGTATTGCCCTAACGGCAGGGGCGCATACTGACAAACAATGAGGCCGCATTTTGATATGTCTTTATACGCTTCTTCATCCTACGTCACCTCACACCCTTAAATACATGACTACGTTGTCTCGCATCTGTAGACGCAGCGACCAGTCCCGCTCCTACCGCTCCTGTTCCCTCCACCATCCATGCTATACCCCCCCTACCCACCCACTTGTACCCCTGCCCTTCTCCCATAGACCCACTCTCCCCTCCCTCGCCCTCATTCAAGGCCCCCCCGTGCTCCCTCCCTCCTTCCCTCCCTCCCTCCCCCCTCCAGACGACGCCCCCGCACACGGTTCCTTCTCCGACCCTCTGCGCCACGTCAGCAACTTCGGGCAGCTGCGGGTGGCCACCAACCCCGCCTTCCCGGACACCCTGCAGATGCAGGCGGCGGGATTCGTGGAGGGATACCTAACGGCAGGTGAGTGTGTGTGGCGCTGGCCATCACTTGTTTTGTGTGGCATCCAGCCGCCTCCCCTGTCCACATTGCCTCTCCCTATTGAACTTGTGGTTCCCCTCAGACCGGTTCGGCTTGGCTTCTCTCCGCCCTCTCCCCCACTCCTCTCCCCTCCTCTCCCAACTCGCTCCCTCCCCGCTCCGCAGAGCGCATCTTCGACTACGCCTACAATATGCGCGGGTGGCTGGCTGAGCAAACCAACGACACATTCAAGATTGGGGACTGGTGGGGGGGGAGCGGGGAGGGGGGCGGGGGTGGAGAGGAGGGAACTGATGGGGGGGTGAGGGAGGAGGGTGCGGTAGGGTCAGTGGGATGGCGGGGGGAGCTGATGAACCGCGGGTCATGGAGAATGAGCAGAGGGTAATTCATGAGCAGCAGCCGCTGAGGGGCAGGGGGCGTGGGGCAGGGAGCGAGAGCGACCGGCTAAAGTAGTGAAGCCCCTTATCTCCCGTCCCCTACCTCCCGTCCCTTCAGCGGCTCAAACCCACACCCTCCTCGCCCCTGCTCCCGCCCTCCCCCCCCTTTCCCTCCCCCCCCAGGCTGTTCGCTCAGGACCAATGGGCTCGCCAGCAAGTCAGGGCGCATGCAGCTGACAACACCTCCTCCTCTGCCTCCTCCACCTCCTCCTCCACCACCACCTCCTCCACCTCCGACCCCCCCTCCCCCGCCTTCTGGCCCACCGTGGGTCTCCTCCTCGCGCAGCTGGATGGGCTGCAAGCGGGCTACAGCGCCCGATTGGCGGAGCAGGGACAGGGGCAGCAGGGGGGGCAGGGACAGGGGCTTGCAGAGGGGGCGGCTTCGGAGGGGCTGGAGGGGCAGGGACAGGGGCAACAACAGGGGGCTTCAGTGGAGGAAGGGGCGGCAGGAGGGAATCAAGCTCCAGCGGGAGGGGCGGGAGGTCGGCTGGAGCGGCTGAGCAAGTGGGACTTCCTGGTGCTGAACGCGCTGGGGGACATGGACGACCTGCTGGGTGGGTGGGAGGGGGGAGGGAAGGGGAGGGGAGGGGGGGAGGTAGCGGGTTAGGAGGGGCATGCAAGGGGCGACAGGTACGTTCAAGAGCAGGGGCTTTAAAGGGGTGATGTGGTGTGCAGGAAGCCCTTCTCCCTTGCTGCCTTCTTTGCTTTGTCAGAGGATTCAGGGGAGCTCATCCCGCCACCAGGGGCCTGATCGCCATACCTTCCCTTTACCAAGCATGCTTGCCGTACCTGCCCGACAATTCCGTATCCCTCCCCTCCTCTCCCCCCCCCCGCCAGGTGTTGTGTTCCCGGATGACAACACCGGGGACGACACCTCCGACTACACCTCACCCGAGGGAGCCCGCATGCGGGTCCCCAACCCCGAGCGGGACGAGTCCTTCTTCTTCCGCAAACCCGAGGAATGGAAGAAAGAGCAGGCGGAAGGGGAGGGTGATGCAGGTGATGCAGCAGCAGAAGGGAAGGAGGAGGGGAGGGGCTCCTCCTCCCCCCGCCCCGGCAAGCCCCCCGGTGCGAGCGGTCCGGTGCCCCGGCGGGGTCCCTGGGGTGACCTGACCCCCGGGCAGGTGCGCAGCCGCATCGCCAAGTCGGGGCGGTGCAGCGCGCTGGTCAAGGTGAGGGGGAGGGAGGGGGGTGAGGGGGCTACAACGAGGAAGTTGACGAGAGCTGTATAGCGAGGGGGCTTCACCATGGGTTGCAAACAGTGGACCCGGCCCGTACCAACCCCACCAGAATTAGTCAGGGCAGAGGGAGGGGGATGGGAGGGAGAACCGGCATGCCTCCTCCTCCATGCTCTCCTTTCCCTGCACGATCGAATGAAACCCCGCGCATGTGACATACGCGTCCTCCTCCTCCCTCCCCCTCCTCCCCCCCCAAAGGTCACCCCCGACCTCTCCGACCTGCTGCTAGGCCACGTCACGTGGTGGGGCTACGCGTCCATGCTGCGGATCTACAAACACTACGACATGCGGCTGGGGGGGCTGCCGCTGGCTGCGGGGGCGGGCCGGGTGTCGTTCTCCAGCTACCCGGGTGGGTGGGGGGTGAGGGTGGGGGAGGGGCGGGGTGAGGGGGAGATAGAAGGGCAGGGTTGAGAGGTGAGGGGGAGGGGCGGGGTGAGGGGCGGGGTGAGGGGTGAGGGGAGTACCCGCAGCTGAGGGGCAGGGGGACCGGTACTTGCCCGGGTTGCCGTGATCAACACGAATGTGGTTTTACTTCGTCCCCCACCTTCCTTCATGTGTCGTGTTGGCTTGACTAGTCCTGGCGGGGGGTTGGTATGGGCCGGGTCCACTGTTTGCAACCCATGGTGAAGCCACCTCGCTATACAGCTCTCGTCAGCTTCCTCACTCTTACCTTCCTTCACCCCAGCACCTCCGTACACCGCCCCCCGCCCCCCTGTTCTCTCTTTAACCCCCCCCCCCAATCCCCCAGGCCAGCTCAGCTCCGCTGACGACTGGTACCTCCTGGGCAGCGGGCTGGTGGTGACGGAGACCTCCCTGGACGTGTACGACCACACGCGGTACAACAGCTCGTACGGCTGCTCGCCCGCCTCGCTGCTGGCGTGGCAGCGGGTGGGGGCGGCAAACATGCTGGGAGGGGACGGGCCGGGCTGGGCGAGGCTGGCGGCGGCGTATAACAGCGGTAAGAGGGGGGGAGGGGAGGAAGTGAGGAGGCGGGTAACGGATTGTGCAGGGGGTAAGAGGGGGGGGGTGAGGACTGAGGAGGGAAAAAATTAAATAAGTGAAACAACGAATCCCAATCCTGACTGAGGACTGAGGAGGGAAGGGGAGCTGAGGCCGTCGGGGGAAGCTGTGGGAAGGAAGAAGGAAAGAAGAAAATGAGACGAAAATGAGTGCGGGTGAGGGAGGGATTGTTGTACATCTCATTCTCGAAGCGCTAGGGAGCCCCGCAGGGTTCCTGCGAGCTTGAGGCGTTGGCCCTGACTCTTACCTCACCCCACTTCCCCCTCACCCCTCCCTAAACCCCTCCCCTCTTCCCCCCTCTCCCCCCCTCCCCCCCGCAGGCACCTACAACAACCAGTATATGATTGTCAACCTGGCTCGCTTCTCCCCCGGTCGCGAGCTGCAACCCGGCCTGCTGACCATCAGCGAGATCATACCCGGCATGGTGGTCACGGCGGACGCCACATCGGATCTGGAGCGGGGACACTGGCCCTCGTACAATGTGCCGTACTTCCCCCAGGTGGGAGGTGGGGTGGTGAGGGGGGGGAGTGAGGGGTTTGTGTGTGTTTTGTGTGGCATTCCCCGCCACCTGTTGCTGGCTGCATTGGCTTAGGGCCTTAACTTGTGGGTTCATTTCATTGTTGCCGTTTGGTTTGATTGCTGTTTCACACCCCCTCTGACACCCTCCATCTTCCCCCATCTGCCCTTGTGTACTCTTCTTTACACCCCCCCCCCCCCCCCCAGGTGTACGAGGCGACGGGCTACCGGCGACACGCGGAGGCCCTGGCGCGGCGGGGCCCCGCGTTCGCTGAGGCGGCAGCGGGGTTGAGCTACCAGCTGGCACCGCGGGCCAAGATATTCAGACGGGATGCGGGTGGGTTGGGAATAGGTAAACCAGGGGAGTTTGCGGGTAGGATTGTGCCGGCATACGTGCATGTGGCTTTGCAACGTGCCCCGTTCCCGTGGGGCTCCCTCCGCGCCTACTTCTCTGAGGAGGTCTGCATTGCCGGGTGTTGTGTGCTAGACAGGTCAGGATGGCTTCCAGGTCTTAGGTGTGTGGAAAAGGTTTTACTCGAATTCCTGCGCATTACCTAGATCTCTGCCCTCCTCCTCCTTCAACCCCTCCTACCCTCCTCTTCCCCCCCAGCCGGCGCCAACGACCTGGCCTCCTTCCGCGCGCTGCTCCGCTCCAACAGCTGGCGGCCGCACCGACCCACCGACCCACTGGCTGCCGACTCGCCCTGGAACGCGCTGTGCGGGCGGGGGGATCTGGATCCCGAAGACCCGGATGTGTACGGCTGCTATGATGGCAAGGTCACCAACTACAGGTGGGGCGGGGCGAGGGGGTGCGAGGGGGTTAGGAGATGGGTGGATGGGCGGGGGAGGGTGTTCGCCGTATTCCTGCCCCCCCCGCCCGCGACACCTCTTAACACACAACCCACCATTCCTGAAACCCGCCCTTCAACCCGGCCCCCTCGTCCTCCCCTCCTCTCTCCCTCCAGACGCGCCCTGGAGCTCTCCGCTGACGCCATCAACGGCCCCACCACGGAGGGGGGCCAGCCGCCCTTCCGGTGGGATGCGCACCCGCGGTTCAACCGGATACCGCGGCGGGGCATGTTGGAGGAGTACGACACGCAGTGGGAGGAGCAGCGGCCGTGAGGGGGAGGGAGGGGGTTAATAGGGATGAAGATTCCGCATGAGGCTGGATAGTTTGGGGGGGCAATAGATGGAAAGTGAAGCAACGGAGTTCCAAATTCCGACTCATGCAGTGAACGCATACGGAGGGGGGGAGGAGGGCAACCCATGCGCGGTGCGTGGAGGGATGGGATGGGATTGGGGGCCAGGTGGTGAGGTGGTGAGGTGATGGGGAAAGGAGGGAGTACGTGATGGGAGGAGGGGACACATTCGAGGGGCGAGTGGGTCGCAGCGAACCAGCTGGGGGGGGTGTACTACCGTACATGAATGAGGGTGAATGAGGTTGTACGGTGTGTGTTTTACCGTACAACTGATTGCCAAATTGACACGGTACGGTGTGTGCGCGGTACCGTACCTATGCTATGCGTTAAGAGAGGGCTAGCCGAAGGTCGAGTTGGGTTAGGCGAGGGAGCTCGGCGCGTTTGGAGGAAGGCAGTCGAACTGCTAAGGGGGCATGTGCGTTCCCCTGGAAACTGAACTTGGGAGGATGTCAGAAATTGTTGCATGCGTCTTTTTGACCCCACTGTATGGGTGTTTATGTTTTGCGTCAATTGCTCTTTCATGCCCTTATGTATATGTGCTGGCGGCAGCGGTTAGCTGGTTACTGTCTGGTTACTGTCTGTTCAGCTGTTAATGCTGGAATTGCTAGGGAACTGCTTACGTGATGTGTCGTATGCGCCGTATTGTACTGTTTTAGGTAGTGAATTAGTAAAAGCTAGTTTGCAGTTATGTGTTTTGCCAATCATCAAATCGAAACCAGAGAGTCAGAAAGCAATCTCGGCTGGTTGGCTGTCGTGTACTATTACCAACACTTACCCCACAACTGTTGTTACGATTACTGTAGCTTGTATGTAACAGGTATGGCTTCGGTTAGCGAGCTTCGGGTTGGCGGTTTTTCTGCTGCTGCTGATGATGATGATTATTGCGATGACACGCATGCGTGCTGTCGCGTATCAAAGGTAGCGCCAATGATGTAATGGCGCTATGGCGGCCTCTCTGGGCAATGTGTGCTAGGAGCCCACCTGTCAAGGCCCCCATGCAGGTTCCACGCCGCTTCTTGTGTTTTTAAACTATACCGGCATTTGATTGGTATCCCCTGGTGTGCCTGCAATGCTTTTGATATCCCGGGGAGCTCCCCGCCAGCGGCTGCCGTACCGCCTCGGGTGGCGTCAGCGCGGCCGCCCCGGCCCCGCGGTGCGGACCAGCAGTCCTACTTCACCCCCTCCACCAGCTCAAGGCAGCTCCCGCAGGTCGTTGTGCCGTGCAGCCCCCATTCCAGCTCCGCTACCTGCCGCGCGGCCGGCATCAGCAGCAGCCCGGCCATCCAGCTCGGCAGTGGGGTGGAGCAGCAGCTCGTCCGGCACCTCCAGACGCCATCATAGTACGTGAAGCCAAGGCCAAGCAGCGCCCCAAAGACCCGTGGGTCGGTGTCCCGCCGCTCCACCTCCTCTGCTGCCCCGCAAAGCCGCCTGCTGCCGGCAGCTGCCTGAAGGGGTGGGAGCGGGTGGCCAGCAGCGAGCGGTGCGCAGCGAAGGAGCCGCCGCCCTCCATCCCACACGAAGGGTGAGGGTGGCAGGGCTGCTCGGGGGCCCGGGCATGATCTGCGGGTTTGGTGACGTTACTAACGCCCTTTTTCGTACCTCCCGTTTGGTAGGTGGCCGGGTGGTGGTCAGGTGCTGTGGGGGAGGTGACGGTAGGGTTGCATGGTAGCGGCGGTTGGTCTACTAGCATTACGGCAAGTAAGGCCTTACCGCCACACGAACCACCCGAATGCGCTATGTCGTGAAGCATAAATTGAAAGAGCTGTTAAACGTGGTTTACTTATCGAAAGAACATATTGATTATATTATTGCGCGATACAGTTCTCCAACAGAAAGATCAAGAAGGTGTTTACTCGCGTGGCGTGCAAGCTTACACGATTCGCCTTTCGATCCTCATCGGCTTCTTAGTCGCCATCGCAGGCATGTTACTTCTTCGCTCCAACTTATTCATTCAACATCGCTCCCAGACCTTAAGCCCCGCGGCTGTAACTCAGTCGCGCACTTCTGCTGTATCGCGACCAACAGCCGGAGCTTCAGAGGTAAGCGCTACCTCGCTATTTGTTATTTAACACGTTATGCATCGCGACTTCAGCAACGTTGATTACTATTAAGTTCTCACTCTAATGAAACCTCCAACCGCTCACATCTTCAGGCAACTCTCGGTTTTCCTAATACAAACCAAGTCTGACCTCGAACTATATAACATATATTTTCTCTTTTATCTGCTGACAGGTCGGGTCTGCTGGCCGCTCGCTCCTAGCACCCAGCAGCAGCTCCCGGCCCCGAGGCTCAGCACCTCAAGCAGCAGCCGGACCCAGCAGCGGCGAGGCGGTTTCGGAGCCTACCTCTGGCGCCATGGAGGTCGCAACCCTGGGCGGGGGCTGCTTCTGGTAAGGAGAAACCCCGCCCGCTCGGCAGCCTGTACGACACCCTGTCACACTGCCAATACACACACGCATCGGCGCTGCTTGGCACTCTGCCCACCCTCCCGCCGCCCCCCTCGCAACAGCCGCCTGCGATGAGCACCTGCGACCCATCCTGCGACGAGCCCTTCCCACCGCCTTCCTCCCCCAGTTCCAAACAATGCAGGCCTGTGCTGACCAACCCCCATCCACACCAAGTCTCCAACCCTAACCCGCTCCCCCCACCCCCACCCCCAGTAACCAAGCCTAATGCCGACTATGTATCCCTGCTAACCCCCACCCCCACCCCCTAACAACCTCCCTGAAGGTGCATCGAGGCCTGCTACAACATGCTGCGAGGGGTGCGGTCAGCTGTCAGTGGCTACGCGGCCGGACACATCAAGAACCCCACCTACAAGCAGGCGAGTGCGGCAGACCGGCCGTGTGGGGGGTGCTGTGGAAGCAAAACACAATACCGGCAGTGTGGCCGACGCAGGCTGACGGGGCAATACCTACGGTATACGCCGTACACCGTATAAGCTGGACGAGGCCTCGTGCACCCGACTCACGCGCCTCATGGGGCCGTCCCAAATCCCCTGGGGTCCTGGGGTCCGTCATATGTCTTCTCCTCGCTCCTGCTCCTCACACCTCCCCTCCCCTCCCCTCCCCGGTCCCCGCCCCCGCCCCGCCAGGTGTGCAGTGGAACCACGGGTCACGCGGAGGTCGTACAGATCACGTATGATCCCTCCGTGCTGAGCTACCGGGAGATCCTGGAGATCTTCTTCACCATCCACGACCCCACCACCAAGGACAGGTACGGCAGTATGACGGTGTGTTAAGAAAACTGGCCGCGAGTAGGAACGTACTGGGATGTCGGAAGATGAAGGTGACGGTGTGTGTGTGTGGGGGGGGTTGTGCAGTGCGCAGAGGCCCGACGGCAGTTTGGTACTGAGCTAGTCCTCTCGGCCCTTTCCTGTCTCTGTCCCCCTCACCCCGCTCCTTCCCCCCCTCCCGCCCTCCCCCGCTCCTGCCTCCCCCCCCCTACCCCCGCTGCAGGCAGGGTAACGACACGGGTCCGCAATACCGCTCCATCATCCTCACGCACGGCGAGCAACAGCGGCAGGTGGCGCAGCAGGTCATGCAACAGGTGTGGGTGTTAAGGAAACTGGCCGCGAGTCGAGGTGTGTATGTGTATGTGTGTGTGTATGTGTGTGGGGGGGGGGCGGCGGGAGGAGTGCGGGACATGTGTGGGTGGCTGGGACGGGCGGACGGGTAAGTCAAATCATGTAGCAGGTGGGCATGTCACCGCTGCTCCTCCTGCACCTCCTTATATAGCTGACATCCTCCCCGTGCTGCCCCCGGCCTGCCCTTGCTGCCCCTGCCCCACCCTGCCCCACCCTGCCCCACCCTGCCCCACCCTGCCCCACCCTGCCCCACCCTGCCCCTACCTGCCCCCCTGCTTCAGGTTGAGTCGGAGGGCTGGTGGGGCGCCCCGCTGGTGACGGAGGTGCAGCCGCTGGACCTGTTCTACCCAGCAGAGGTGAGGGGGGGAGGCGGGGGGTTCCAAGACCGTCCCCTGTCCCCCTCGCGGCTCAGTCATCTTATCCCCCTTTCTCCCTGCCACCCCTGCCGCCCCCTTCCACCACCCCTACCGCCACCCCCTTCCACCACCACCACCACCCAGGACTACCACCAGAACTACTTTGTGCAGAACCCGGGTCAGGGCTACTGCCGGGTGGTGGTGGGTCCCAAGGTGGCCAAGTTCAGAGCCAAGTTTGGCAGCAAGATGAAGTAATCCGGGGCGCGGAGGGAGTGCGGGGAGGAGGAGGAGGAGGAGGAGGAGGAGGAGGCCAGGAAGCTGAAGAGAGTCTTACCGTGCAAGTTGTGAGGCGGAGGGCGGGTGGGGACAGTAGCCGCAGCAGGGGCGGCAAGAGGAGCAGCAGCACTGGCGGGTGTATGATTGACTGGGTGGGTGTTGAAGCTCACCGAGAAAGAGGAGGGGCTGCATTCCCCTGGACGGTAGGACCCGGAACCTCAGCTGGAGAGTTGACGCAGTGATGAGGGGGAGGGAGAGGCGGAGCCGTAGCATGGGGGGCTCACAGCGGGTAAAAGGAAATGCAAATTGACGCAACGGAGTCGCAACGGAGTCCCAGATGGATGGGTTTCCGTGCTGATGGTACAGTTGGAGGTTCAGGGGTTGTAACCAACTAACTGGCATGCGCGAGGAGGGTCGGTCGCAAGAGTTGTAATTCGTGGGCGTACGTGCCCCATGGGTCAACACGGGTACAGCGCCCCTACCCCCCACGGGAGTCTGAGGTCGTACAGGGCCTCCTGGCAGCGTGCTGCGCTTCCATTCTCTATCATTTAACTCAAAACAAGTTCTTGGTATCACCCTTTTACTCTGGGAATTCCAATATCCCTTTAAATGTAAGCGTCAGGGACTTTCTGTGCATTGCAGTGTCAACCTACAGAAAATGTAGCAAGCTTGATTTGTTGATCTACTTTAGTTCTAATTTGATAACGCTACTTATGGCTTGTGCCACAGGCGGTAAAGTCTTGATGGTTGTGCAAAAATGAAGGGCGATGGCAGCAGTGGATGCGACGGCTCTTCGGCAGCAGCAGCCACAGGACCTGAGTTGCCCAAGGTATGGTTCGTGACACGTTGTCCTGAAGATAATTGATAGTATTAAGCTGTTAAGGGCTTTGCGATGCCCTGTATACTTGCTGGCTCACATCTGTGCATCTGTGCACACTAGCAATATTTGCTGACCTCTTCTGCTTGCCACGTGTATCCATAGGCAACGATCCTCCCTTTCCCTTCTCCTTCCTTGCCGGTACTAGGACTAACGCGTCTGCAGGGATATAGATATCACGAACCCCAACACCACCGTCAGTCCCGTCCTGCCTATCACTAGAATCCCCTTGACTCCTCCGCTTGACACCAATCGCAGCGTTCCTTCTACACACGCGTTTAGCATGGGTACGTCGTTCGTTACTTACACCTTGCGTGCGTACTGCGTCAGCTGGAACAAGCTCCTCATGCATATTTACATCCGTGACACCCTGCTGCTGTGCTGTGTCTTGCGCCACATTAGCCCCTGCTGTGCCCGCTCCCTGACCACTTGGCCCCGCAGCTGCTGCATCAGAGCGGGCTTCACCTGCTGCAGCAGCAGCGCTGCGCTGGGTAACCCAAGCTGCCCACGCAGACATAGTATCAGCAACTGCCTTTACATCGTCAGCTGATAGGTTGCTAGCCCCCGATAGTGCTGCGTGGATGGTCACGAGCGGCGTCGAAACGATACCAGCTAACGACAGCACCTCACTGCTATGGGGAGGCATCGGCGGTGGTGCAGCAGGAGACGCAGCTGGCATACGCAAAGCCGCCGGACCTCTGTAGCGGTCTTTGGACTCGACAAGAGACCGCAAGGCTTCAGCCTCCCTCCGTCCAGCAGCAAGCGTGGCTGACATACGTTCCGTGGGTGGCCTCCGGCCTGCTGTGAATGCTCTGCGGATGGTAGCCTTGAGCGAATCAACTGATAAGCGAGAGGCAACCTCTCTAACCACCTCCTCCACAGGCCTGCTTTCAGCTGCTGTTTGGCTGGAGCCCTGTCTCTGTTGGCTCCATACCCTCGCCTTGCAAGCTGTTGGACGCTGGGGTTGCGGTACCATGCCACTGCTTGTATACGTCTGCTGCAACAGAGCGCACGCAGGCGTTATGTGCCGCAAACATATGGCAAGTGCTGCTGAACACTCCAGCACGGACGGAGACAACAGCGCGTACTGGGCACGGATTAAGTTTACGTTTCTGAGTTTCAGGCACCAACTGCATGGCTGCTGACAAAACATCCTCGCATGAAGTGAAGGACTTGAATATGAATGCCTCTGATGAGTAGGATGGGGCTGGGTCGGATGCAGGCACAGCGTATGCACCTGTTGCTGCTAAGTCCTGCTCGGCTGCTGCCTGATGCCCTGGGTTTTGCCGTGGCCCTGGCTTCGTTGCACGTCTCCTGCCCCTTGGTGCTGGCGGCAGCTGAGAGCTGGGTGCTGCACCGCCTGCCGCTGTAGCAGATGGCGGTACCAGATTCATTCGGGTTGTGATGCTACACGCAACGGAAAAAGCGGGTATGCACTTGGAGGGGGCTCAAGGGTAGGACTAGAGGCATGTGCAGGAGGGGGGTCCGGAATCGTGATTTCAGGTAAGCACATATTTGGAAAGTACTCTTTACGACAAGAACGAGGGTGTTTTACCATGCCCAGATTCATAACCGCCGCTGCCATTTGACCCGAGAGCACCGCGAAGGAATGCTTCGGCTTCATCGTCGGAGTGTTCAGCTACTAGGAGACCTACACTACATCTGAATCACTCATGTTTGGTTACATGTTATTATAACTTCATTGCATAAGGTTAAGGACAATGACTTATGTTAAGCCTTCGATTGCGAGGTGAATACCAAATGGGCTGCACTTACAGAGAAAGATATGGCATATATAATTGCTTCTAAGATGTTTCATAGCACGCTTCTGAGCACAGCGAGCACAGCACGCTGCCAGGAGGCCCTGTACGACCTCAGACTCCCTTAGAGGGTTCGAGCACTCTTGCGTCAACGCCCCAATGTCGCATATAATATGGTACAGCACATTATGTTTACTCACATATAGTTTGACATACTTTGCTGGAGACCTAGCTGAATGAAGAGTTGTGCAGCGTACGAGAGCCCAAAAATATAAGTATCCGAAGTATGGCACCATACGAGCTACGCAACGAGTTAGGTATATCGGAAGGAACGCAGCTATTCAGCCCTTATCGATAGGCTATAACGTGAAACAAGTCTCTCGCAATTACCTGTCGATAACACGCTCAGACTGCACGACTCCTGAAGTAGGCAAGCCCGTTAAAGCGGTGCTAGCTAGGGCTGCAAATGTCTTACTCTGCTGGAGCTGGCATCTTTGGAGGAACCTTGCGCATGCGGAGTGCGTTCTTTCTTGCGGTGGTCCTAGTGTAAGTCCATGTATCTTTGATACGATACGCTGCTTCTGCACTAAAACGCGCTCTGGAGGTGACTGCTTTACACTTCTGACCTTTGCCTTAGGGCTGCGTGGTCGGCGGGAAGCACCGACGGCGGTGAGCAATTGCATAGTTGGACTAACGAAGTGTTTCATTGCCCATGGGATCCTGATTCGTTATTCTGCATTTGATAAGTTCTAATTAACTAGAACCCCTGGGCGCTCCGGAGGCGGTGCTTAGCTATAGTCTGCCATAGCTCTATATAGCTACCTACCTTTCAGAGCAATGTGCTAGAAACTATTGCCGTGTGCGTATGAACGGGTTGTACCCTCTTCTTTGGTGTTGCATTATGATCCTTGCATGCATGTGTCACTCTGCACTCTTGACCCGTCGTCGTTTTCTTTTATCCTGCATGCATGTTCGCCGGCGGACTCCACGTTCTACGCTTATTCTCGGCTGGCGGTCATTCAACCTCTCGCAGCGAGTAAGTCTTTCAGTTCATTTCTGCTTAATTTGATGTTTTTGAAGGCAGCTGAGCCACGTACGTCCGTGTCTGCCTGCTGTTAAATAAAACGGTGAAGCATAGGACTAGATAGGCCAATGAAATTAAAGCACAGTTGTATATCCCTTTGCTAGCCGTACACGGATATACCCGTTGCTAAACACGACCAGTCACCGCAGTCAGGCTGCTGTTGTGGCCGCCTCATACAGCAACGGGACAGTAGTAAACTAGGAGCACACGCATGCTAAACACCATAACCGGATTGCCTACAACACACGGGTGAACAAACTGATAGGGAGTCATGTATACGTGATAACTGGCCCTCCCTTCCTCACACTTCATTCTCACACTTTACCCCCCCCCCCCATACGTGCTGCCCGCCCCTTACACCCTGCTATCTATCCCCTCTATCGTATCCCTGTGTGCACGCTCGCCTCTAGCTACATGCACAACCAGACAGGGCTTTACGGTTACACCTGACAAGGACTACACGCCAGGCCCGTCCAACGATGACCTGCCGTCCTGCCAGGTGTCGTCTTTTGCTGGTAGCCTATCAGTCGCTTTGTCAGTATGTGAGGATGACAACGTCAACTGTAGTGCGTTGTCGTACGTTCCAAGTATTCAGAATTATTGCTTCAGGAAGGGTAGAGAGCCCCTTGTAGATGCACCTGGGACTTGCTTCTACACGGCAGACAACATCACAACAGGTGTGTGAGAATGAATGCTTGGAAATGAATGGGAATGGGAATAAATGGGAACAAACGTACGTACGAGGCTTGAAGGCTTATCTACGTACACACATGCATACTATTTGGCTGGGTAATTTAGATCGAACCAGTCAGCCATACGTGTATGCCAGCATGCATGAACCACCGCGCGCTCTTTGCCTATTGAGTTGCTCCTGCTGAGGATGCGCGGACCAGTGTTTGTATGTATTTATGTACTGCTCACTGGCACCACGCACGTCGGCCTAAGTTGCATGCAAGTTGCATGCATGCATGCATGCATTCCATAACTGACAGTTTACAAGGCATGCAGGGCATGTAATGACGAGTGCTCGTTTCTTTGTGTGCACGCTTGCTTGCGTGCATACTTGCAGCTGACTGCCCGAGCATGGAGGGATATATAGCCACCCCGAATGTGGACCTCAATGTCAACCTGAATGTGGAGAAGGACTGCAAGGTGGGGTGGGCCTTAATTCTCATGTTGCTTGCGTATGTGGCCGACATATCCTGCTGCTAGTAACTAATACTGTTTAGATAGGCTTATGGTCTTCTATGGGCTAGCTAGCTTGAATGTAGTTGACTGGTAATAGTTGCTGCATGCATGTTGCTTAACGACACTGTCGTCGGCCGGATCGCCTTTCCATCTACTCTGCAGTCTTTTAGTAACATGGCGGCTATCCCTTCCTTCATGACGACCCGCGGCGCCGCTGCTTTTTCCTTCACCCCTTTTACAATGACAAACTATGGGTGCGTTAAAAATGTGACTGGGTCATTCATCGCGAAGCCAGGCCATTGCTTCTACACACCAGGTGCGCCTGTCTTGTTTGAGAGCCTGATTGCGGTTCCACAAGCAAGCGACTGCCAACTAGTATGGTAGTAGATAGTGCTGCTGAGGTAAACTGCTGTATGTGACTTAGCTCCATCCCCTACGCACGGCACGCTTTTTTTGCCATGCATACATACGGCGGTTATTAATAGTTGCTCACTTGGAAATTTCATCCTAAGGCATGCATGCACGCACGCCCACGGCACATGTACATCGAAGCTTCCTTATCAAGCTTATATATCATTATATAAGCTTCTTGCATATGCTACGTACTAATGGTATTATCCTGCTGGCAGTTATTAAGTCGCCCTACCCTCCGCCCGTCCCTACTGCCTTTGACAGCACCAAGTCTGCCTTCCCCGCCTCCGAGTCCCCCACCCTCGCCCCCGCCTTCCCCGCCTCCGAGTCCCCCACCCTCGCCCCCGCCTTCCCCGCCTCCGAGTCCCCCACCCTCGCCCCCGCCTTCCCCGCCTCCGAGTCCCCCACCCTCGCCCCCGCCTTCCCCGCCTCCGAGTCCCCCACCTTCGCCCCCGCCTGCCCCGCCTCCGAGTCCTCCACCCTCGCCCCCGCCTTCCCCGCCTCCGAGTCCCCCACCCTCGCCCCCGCCTTCCCCGCCTCCGAGTCCCCCACCCTCGCCCCCGCCTTCCCCGCCTCCGAGTCCTCCACCCTCGCCCCCGCCTTCCCCGCCTCCATCACCGTCGCCACCCCCTCCTCCTCCTCCCCCACGTTCAAGGCCGCCACCGGTCAACAGCCCGTTACCGCCTAGCCAGGTTTCCCTTTCCCAACCGCCACCCAATTCGCCAGCACCCAACCCATCAGCCCCGCCGCCTCCCTCCCTGTCCACACCCCTGGCTACTGCAAGACCCCCACCACCTTCAATCCCATCTAGCATCCTCTTTCCTCCTCCTCCCGTTCCTTGGCTAATAACACCTTCACCCTTATCTCTTCCCTCATCACCCGCGCCTCCGCCGCCGCCTACACCAGCAGTCCCTTTCTCGCCTCCGCCTCCTCCCTCCCCGACACCGCCCCCACCTCCTCCCTCCCCGACACCGCCCCCACCTCCTCCCTCCCCGACACCGCCCCCACCTCCTGACGCGGTGATGTACTACTGGGCTACCTCGGCTGCTGGTCCCAATGTAAGTGGATATGGCTGGCTGGCTGGCTGGGGATACTGGGTCTCCATCAAGGATTCAGCATGGGACATACATCAGCATGCGCGGAGCGAGGCTAGCTAGGTACATAGCTCGATAGCTCTCGATTACCTGCAAGCAGTGCATGCATGCTGGGTCAGCTAAAGCAGTAGTGTGCAGCATGTGTGACCCCGCCCCCAACACAGCAGCCCGATGATCTTCCTTGCTTGTCGGTATGTTGTTGCATGATGACCCGGCGCACTTATACCGGTATGCTTGCAAAATGAGGTGTCGAATGGTTGCATGCAGCTTGCACATACAGGAATGCACTCTGATCCCATGCGCACCGCACGCACGGCGTGCGAAGCCTTGGATGGCGGCCCTACCTAGCCAGCTTCCTGTCTTGGTTCGTTGTTCTTTTTTCCTACCGTGCTCGCACGCCTCTTTTGGTGCTATCTAGCCGCCGTCCTGCCTCATGGCCTCCTCTATCCACCTTCGCTCCTCTATCTCTTCTTTCTCCTCCTTCCATTACCATACCACGCACGCCGCCCCTCCCCTCCCAGGACCCCTCCGGCTCCAGCACCAGCCCTGGCTCCGTGAGCCGCCTGGTGGGGGCGCCTGGTGCCGATGTGACCAGGAAGAGCCGCACATGCAAGGCAGCTGCTCCCCTCGCCTGGGTGCCGACACTCGCGGTAAGCAGCGAGTCTGGGGCTGCCGGGGCACAAATTGAAGCCCTGGCATCTATATCACCAATTACGTTAGATAGATAGATAGGCGGACTTGCTTGTTTGGCTACGGTACCTATCTACCATGCATAGAGCAGGTGATGACTATCCATCGCTAACCTTGCTTGCTTGGTGTATGTGTTGGGTCACACAAGGGAGGTATGTAGGATGGGGAGGGAGCGAGAATGATGAGCCATTTGATATTGACCGCAGCACTCAGCTAGATGGCAGCACGCAAGCAGCAGCACCTCGCAGCTGTCCTGAATCGCATGCAGGCACATAGATGTGTACGGCCCGCCCTGCGTACCATGCCTTACTTCCATATCCCTGCTAGCTGCTGTGTGTCGCCCTACCCGGTGCATATCCGGCTCCAAGAGGACCATGTCCTGCAGACCGGTTTGCAAGATTAACAAGTAAAGTAACCGTCGCGCTCGCTCAGACGCCCACACACCAACACATACATCTATCGACTGCTGCTCGCTCCATGCATGCACCTATCCAGGCTCCCCGTACCGTGGCGGTCTACTTCAACCAGACCCCGGCTGCCAAGGTGGGCCAGGTGGGGGCGGTGGCACTCTACGTGCTCAACAAGGGCAGCCTCGACCCCGCCATCACCGCCATCGACCTGCTGCTGCTGCTAACGGTAGGTGCCCAGCGAGCAGTCACGAAGGCGGGCAGCGGTAGGGTTGCTATTAAGGATGGATGGGGGAAATCCAGGCAGCAGCCATGTGGATGGCCGGCACAACCTACCGTCCGGACACACGCACCTGCTGCTGCCTGCACCTGCACCTACCCGCCCTGCCTCGGCGGCTGATGCTTCCTTGCTTATCGCTGGGGTGCTGTAACATACACGAGGATGAATAGATAGCATGCAGTGGATGAACGACCGTCACAATGGTTTCCGAATGGGGAACACGAACGGGTGATGAACCCAACCCTACACTGCAAGGGAAACACGGGTAGCACGTAGGGGTATGTACGACAGCTAGCCCCACGTGCGCGCCCTTTAGTTGCTGCCGGCAGAAACACGCACGCACCTGACCGCTGCTTCTCCCTACCGATCACGTGCCTCAGCCAACCACCCAGCAGGTCTCCACTCAGCAGCAGCAGTGGGCTACCATGTACTCGGGTGGGCAGGGGCAGGGGGAGCAGCTGACATGCCCGGGACTTAACCACTTCCCCGTGTCAGCCGCGGCGCTGGCGGCAGCACAGCCGCAGCTGACATCAGTGGAGGTGCTGGCGGCCGAGGTGGTGGGGGTACGGCTGCATGTCAACGAGGACCACCTTACCAACAAGGCGGACCTGCCCCACCTGGCGGCTGTAGGACTGAAGCTGCTGCAGACCTGATGATGCCCATGCATGCATGTATGCTCGTCGACCCCGCCCTGTTCATCACCCACAGCTACGTACTGCAGGAGACAGTGTTTTGGTGTTTGTCCATTGATGGGGTTCCCAAGGAAGAGGGTCGGTGTCAGTGTTTTTTTTTCATTTTTGAGGGGTAATATTTCATCGCACCGCGAGCGATAGAATTTGGGCCTTCACGCCAGTTTAACTAACTTCTTATTGCCGTCCATCGATAAAGCTTGTTCTTTGTATGTTTAGTTCAGTTTTCTTGCTAAAGGGGCTGTGCGTCTTCCTTAAGGACCGTCGCGATGAAAATACGGCATTGCAAGGGGCTTATCGCTTTTCCGGGGAGCCTAGACCAATTATTTATCGCTCGAAAAGCGATATATCGCTCAAAAAAAAACACTGGTGCCACACGCCGACTCGGTGTTTGCGGCGGGCTCGTGTGCGTGAGTCCGGTTCTGTGGGCGTTGTACCTGGGCTTGCTGATCTAGTTGCCCTGCTGTCTGCTGTTTTGGTGTCAGCTCCCGGGTTTTACTTATTTGGGTGTTCCTCGTCGGGCGGGCGGGGTGGGCTGATCTTGGCCCTTCTCATCCGTTCTTACGTGTATGTTGGTGGTGGGGCGCTTTCTGCTGTATTCGGTTGGTTGTTCGGTTGGGCCCCGTTTTCAGTTTGCGAGGTAGGGTGCCCCAGGCACCGTCTGCTGGCGTTTAAACGTATACCTAATCCTGTTGGGGTTCGGCTTTGAGGGCGATGTTGTCATGGTTCCTGGGTTAGCTGTGGTGTTTTTGGGGTCTGTGTATGTATGCGCCTGTTGCCCTAGTGCTTCCCGAGGTTTGCTGCTGAGGGGCCGTTTCTTGGCTTCTACCCACGTTTTTTGGCCTGCCCTTGATTCTAGGCGCTCCGATAGGCCGCGCCGTGGAAGCAAGGGAAAAGCCTTAGGGAACACCCCGGACTTAAGGTCCACGCAAAATTTCCTATTTAGGTAACATCGCGCACGAAGCCATAACATTGTAACTGTTTCCAGACTATTGCTAAATAAAGCCACGGTACCTTGAAGAACAGTTGTTTGCACGCGCAGACAACATTGGTATGGGGCATGGGCATAACGTTGGTGTTATGTGGTGCTACTGTGAATGTTGGGAACAACGACCGAATGTGTTTTCCTGTTGTCTGTTGTTAAGGTGCAACGTTGCTGTTAGGAAAGGGGCTGTCGTACACGTGCTTTCTTACAGTGGCGCAAGAGTGGTCGTAAGGGAGTCTGAGGTCGTACAGGGCCTCCTGGCAGCGTGCTGTGCTCGCTGTGCTCAGAAGCGTGCTATGAAACATCTTAGAAGGAAAGCAATTGTTTATGCCATATATTTCTCTGTAAGTGCAGCCCATTTGGTATTCACCTCGCAATCGAAGGCTTAACATAAGTATCCTTAACCTTATGCAATGAAGTTATAATAACATGTAACCAAACATGAGTGATTCAGATGTAATGTAGGTCTCCTAGTAGCTGAACACTCCGACGATGAAGCCGAAGCATTCCTTCGCGGTGCTCTCGGGTCAGATGGCAGCGGCGGTTATGAATCTGGGCATGGTAAAAACACCCTCGTTATTGTCGTAAAGAGTACTTTCCGAATATGTGCTTACCTGAAATAACGATTCCGGACCCCCCTCCCGCACATGCCTCGAGCCTACCCTAGAGCCCCCTCCAAGTGCATACCCGCTTTTTCCGTCGCGTGTAGCATCACAACCCGAATGAATCTGGGCATGGGAAAACACCCTCGTTCTTGTCGTAAAGAGTACTTTCCAAATATGTGCTTACCTGAAATCACGATTCCGGACCCCCCTCCTGCACATGCCTCTAGTCCTACCCTTGAGCCCCCTCCAAGTGCATACCCGCTTTTTCCGTTGCGTGTAGCATCACAACCCGAATGAATCTGGTACCGCCATCTGCTACAGCGGCAGGCGGTGCAGCACCCAGCTCTCAGCTGCCGCCAGCACCTTGTGTGCAGCGTTCAAGCAGAAGGGGCAGGAGACGTGCAACGAAGCCAGGGCCACGGCAAAACCCAGGGCATCAGGCAGCAGCCGAGCAGGACTTAGCAGCAACAGGTGCATACGCTGTGCCTGCATCCGACCCAGCCCCATCCTACTCATCAGAGGCATTCATATTCAAGTCCTTCACTTCATGCGAGGATGTTTTGTCAGCAGCCATGCAGTTGGTGCCTGAAACTCAGAAACGTAAACTTAATCCGTGCCCAGTACGCGCTGTTGTCTCCGTCCGTGCTGGAGTGTTCAGCAGCACTTGCCATATGTTTGCGGCACATAACGCCTGCGTGCGCTCTGTTGCAGCAGACGTATACAAGCAGTGGCATGGTACCGCAACCCCAGCGTCCAACAGCTTGCAAGGCGAGGGTATGGAGCCAACAGAGACAGGGCTCCAGCCAAACAGCAGCTGAAAGCAGGCCTGTGGAGGAGGTGGTTAGAGAGGTTGCCTCTCGCTTATCAGTTGATTCGCTCAAGGCTACCATCCGCAGAGCATTCACAGCAGGCCGGAGGCCACCCACGGAACGTATGTCAGCCACGCTTGCTGCTGGACGGAGGGAGGCTGAAGCCTTGCGGTCTCTTGTCGAGTCCAAAGACCGCTACAGAGGTCCGGCGGCTTTGCGTATGCCAGCTGCGTCTCCTGCTGCACCACCGCCGATGCCTCCCCATAGCAGTGAGGTGCTGTCGTTAGCTGGTATCGTTTCGACGCCGCTCGTGACCATCCACGCAGCACTATCGGGGGCTAGCAACCTATCAGCTGACGATGTAAAGGCAGTTGCTGATACTATGTCTGCGTGGGCAGCTTGGGTTACCCAGCGCAGCGCTGCTGCTGCAGCAGGTGAAGCCCGCTCTGATGCAGCAGCTGCGGGGCCAAGTGGTCAGGGAGCGGGCACAGCAGGGGCTAATGTGGCGCAAGACACAGCACAGCAGCAGGGTGTCACGGATGTAAATATGCATGAGGAGCTTGTTCCAGCTGACGCGGTACGCACGCAAGGTGTAAGTAACGAACGACGTACCCATGCTAAACGCGTGTGTAGAAGGAACGCTGCGATTGGTGTCAAGCGGAGGAGTCAAGGGGATTCTAGTGATAGGCAGGACGGGACTGACGGTGGTGTTGGGGTTCGTGATATCTATATCCCTGCAGACGCGTTAGTCCTAGTACCGGCAAGGAAGGAGAAGGGAAAGGGAGGATCGTTGCCTATGGATACACGTGGCAAGCAACTGGCCGGCGTCCTTCAGCCCCACCCAATGCCGCGTGCAGATCGCAGACTGGTTCCCCAACGCGTTCGTGGTTGCTGTTGAGCCCTGGCGCAGCCCGGACCCGGCCCTTACCATCCCCCACTTGGACCGCCACATTGTCCACTTGGCGCCGGGGTCCTCCTTTGGTCACACCCTGCCTTTCGATATCCGGGTGGCGGATTTCCATGGCGCGGCGATTGCCATGGAGGCCTTTGACTACGATGCCTACAAGGCACAGCAGGCCGCCGTGGCCCGCCCGGGCGCTCCCATCCACCCCCGCCCCCCTCCCCTGACCCAGGTGGCCCCGGGGCCCACTTCTGGGCCGACCCCCCGGGCGGGTGATCGCGCAGCACAGGTCCTGGCCCGCCTGGCAGCGCGCGGCGACGTGCCGGCTGGGCCCCCGGCCGCCGGCACCGTTCCTGCTTCTGCCAGGGAGCAGGACTCCGGCCCCCCGGGTGTGGTCCCCGCGGCCAGCCCGCCGGCCCCTTTCGTGCCGGCGGCTCCCCTGCCTGGGGGCGTCCTTCCCTCCACTGCCAGCACGCTCCAGCCGCTGCCGGCGCCTGCTGCTGCCTCTGTGGTGGGTGCGCCTGCGGTTGCGCCGCTGCCTGGCGGCCCGGGGGCTGTTGGGGCCTCCGGCTCCTCCCCCCTTCGCACCTCCCCCATCCGCTCGGCGGACGAGCAGACTCCGCCTCGCGGCCGAGCCTGCAACCCCCCACACCACCGCAGTGGCAGTCGCAGCCGCAGTCGCAGCCGCAGCTGCAGCCGCAGCCGTGCTGCCGGGCTGGGGCACTCTCTGCAGGCCGTTGCTGGCGTCTCGGCCCTTCCTCCTCCGGCCAGCCGCGGCCACAGCGCCAACCGCGCCGGCTCTCCCCAGCGGCCTGGCCCGGACCCAGCACCCGCGCTTAGCACTCAACGGCTCTGGACCGACGTCCTCGCTGGGCTGCCTCCCTCCGGGGACAGCTCGGACATCCCCGCTCAGTAATGGCCCGGCGTGCCGCTGGGCGCCGGCCCACCTCCCGCCTGCTGCGTCTTGGATGCCACAATGTGCGTGGGCTCCTTGGGCCCCCTTCTGGGACCCCGGATGCCCGCCTTTTGGCCCTGATGCGGTGCTGGGAGCGGCAGAACCTTGATGTTGTCTGCCTCCAGGAGACACATGTTCGTGCAGCCGATATTCCAAAAGCTACTACGCGACTCCAGGAGCTGGCTCGGCAGCAGCACTTCGCGCTCTGGACGCCCTGGTGGTCGCCAGCCCGTACTCTGGAGTCCGGTCGTCCTAGCGGTGGCGTCGCCATCCTGATACGATCCCACCTCCTTTCTTCCGGTACCCTTGCCTTCCCCGGCGCTTCCCCCTCCCCCTCCGTGGACTCCAATGGCCGCCTCCTTCATTTCCCGGTTACCTGGGGTGGCCACAACTTTACCCTGCTCAGCGCCTACCTTCCCTCCGCTGATATATAGCATCGGCCAACAGGCCTTCATTCGGGACCTCCTGCAGCCCCTCGCCGCCTCTGGTGGCATGCACCTCTGGGCTGCGGACTTCAACTTCGTTCCCGACTCCGTTCTGGATAGTACGGCGGGTGTGGATGGCCGTCGCCAAGATCGGGCCTCTGCTGCTGCTTTGGGTGCAGCCTGCCCTGGCTTCGTTGACGCCTTCCGCCGTCTCCACCCGGCCCGCCGCACCTTTACCTACACCCACCCCGTGGGTGCTTCCCGGTTGGACCGCTTTCTCCTCTCCCCTTGCCTGGCTCTCCATGCCCGGGCCTGTGAGATCCACTGTGGCGCCCCTTCCGATCACCGCCTCTTGGTCCTCCACCTCGCCGCGTCCCCCTCCGCCCAACCCCCTGGCCCTGGCCTGCCCCGGACGCGGCTCCAATTCCTGGATTTCCCAGACCTGCGCTCCCAGTTTGAGGCCTGGCTCCAGGAAACTGCTGCTTCAGCCACTGACGACCCGGCCCAACTCCTGGCCTGGTGGCCTGCCCTGAAACGGGCTACTAGCCTGGCTGCTCGGGACTTTAACACGGTCGCCCGCCTTCACCGTCTTTCCCTCCATCGTGCGGAGGCGCTCGCGCAGGCCGATGAGGATGCTGCTCTTGCTGAGCTAGCTGCGGGTGTTCCCTTGACAGCAGCCCGGGTCGTCACTGCCAGGTCCGCCGCTGCGGCTGCTGCCCTCCAGGCGGCTGGCCCTGGTGCCCGGCAGTCCCGGCACGCTTGGCTGCGCACTGGAGAACGTCCCTGCCCCACCCTCACCGCCCTCCTCCGCCCTCCCACTGCCTGCCGGCCGATTCCCGCCCTGCAAGGCCCTACCGGGGCTGCCACAGCGGACCCCCTGGAGATGCCCCGCGTCATGGCTGCCTTCTGGCGGGACATCTGCACGCCCGCCGCCCCCTCCCCATCCACTCTGGCCGCCCGCGAGTGTATCCTGGCGGCCCTTCGCTCGCACAGTCGTCGCTGTCCTGAGGGGATGGTTGCTGCCCTCGGCACGGCTGAGGTCAGCACTGCCGAAGTCCTGACGGCTCTCTCCTCCTCCCCCTCCGGCCGTGCCCCGGGAGCCGATGGCCTGCCTGTGGAGCTGTACAAGGAATTCTCCAGCACCTTTGCGGCCCTCCTGGCCCACGTCTTCTCTGCGATCGGGACCACTGGCACGACTCCCCGTGGCCTCCTGGACGGTGTCATCTCCTCCCTCTTCAAGGCTGGCGACCCCACGCTGCCTGCTAACTACCGACCCATCACCCTCCTTGACACCGACTACCGCACCCTTGCCCGCGTCCTGGCGAAGCGCCTCCTGCCGGTCTTTGGGGACGTCATTGACCCCTCCCAGATGGCGTTCCTGCAGTCCCGACGCATTGCAGACAATATCCTTCTGCTCCAACTTCTGCCCGAGCTCCTCCGCACGGAGCGCCGCCCTGGTGTTGCTGTCTTCCTGGACTTCTACAAGGCCTGCGACACAGTTGACAGGGACTTCCTCTTCGCCTGCCTCGAGGCCCTCGGTGTCGGGCCGGGCTTCCTCCAGTGGGTGCAGCGCCTCCATATCGACACTGCAGCGGTTGCCCTCGTCAACGGCCACTGCTCTGGCAGGGTCCCCATCACCTCCGGTGTCCGCCAGGGCTGCCCTTTGGCTCCCCTCCTTTACCTTGCCGTGGGCCAGGCCCTGCTCTGCTGGCTTACGCAGCAAGGTATTAGCCTCCAGGTCTCGGGCCCTTCCCCATCTAGCGGCCTGCCAGCACCTCCCGGCCCCGAGGTCCGTGCATCCCAGTATGCCGACGACTGTACTCCCTTCCTGGCCAGCCTCGCCGACCTCCCCCGCTTCCTCGCCGCCATGGAGTTCTTTCGGGCCGCTTCTGGACAGTGCCTCCATGTGGACAAGACCGAGCTCTTGCTGCTTGGTACCCACCCGCCTCCGCCTCCTCCTCCCCCTCCACCGCCCCCTCCTCCCCCGCCTCCTCCCCACCTCCACCCCTCCCTCGCCCTCGCCCTGCTCGCCGCGGCTGTCCGCGCCTCCCCCCCCTCCCTGGCCGCTTCCGTCCTCCTCGGCGCCCTCCCTGCTGCCGCCTCGGTGGCTGCCGCACTCTTGCGCCCTCCCCCTCCTCCCCTCCTCGCCCCCGCCGGCCTGTCCCCTGGGCCCCATGGCCCCGCTGCCCCGATCCCGCGGGTGGTCGCGTCGGCGAAGACCTTGGGCATCCACTTCCACAACAATGCGGACCGTTCCACTGTCTCTTTCGAGGGGGTGGTTGCGGCGCTGGCCAAGGTCGTCGCCCTGCCTCTCTCCACGTTTGGGCGCGCCTTCGCTGCCTCTGGCTACGCTCTGAGCAAGACCTTGTATCACCTGGAGTTTCAGGGTCTCCCCACGCAGCGCGCCCTGACCCGCCTACAGGGCACCGTTGGTGCTGTCGTCGATCGCCGTCTGTCCCCTTCCCAGCATGCTACTGCCCCCCATCAACGCCTCACCGGAGTCGGCCACGGCTGCCTTGCCCTGCCTCCTGCTGCTGGCGGCTTTGGGCTCCTCCCCCTGGTGCAGCACGTCCGCGCCCGCCAGGCTGCCACTGCGGTGCGCTTTGTGAGCGGTGCCTGCGGCCTCCTGCCCGTCACTCCTCCCTGGGTACGGGTGGCGCTGTCTCTGCTGCGCCGTTGTCATCCCGCAGCCCACCCCCTCTGCGTCCTCATGCCCCTCGCCGGCCGGACAGTCCTGGGCCGCCCCATCCCGGCTGACTGCCCCGCCCTGTGCTCCTTGGTCGGTGCCCTCGCGCCCCTTGGCACCCTCCACATCCCGGACCCTGCTGCACTTGCTGGTCCCTGGTGCTCCTCCGCTCCCTTGTGGGGCAACCCAGCGCTGCTGACCACTGAAGGCGCCGGCCTGGAGACCGCCTTCCCTGACATTGCCGCCCTTCCCGGCTTCACCTCCATCGGGGTCGCTGTTCGGAGCTGGCTTGCCCTTCGGGACCTCCCATGCTTCCGTGCGGCGGTTCTCAACCCTGCGGACCAGCCTTCTCCCCGTCTGCTGCGGCAATGTACTAGGGCCTTCCGCCGCCTGGTCCTCCGTGGAGTGTTGACCCTCCCTGCTGGTATGGAGTTCCCCCCCCCGGCTGGTGTCGGGCTGGCATGCCTTCCGGCGCCTCCACATCCTTCTGCTTCAGATCCCGCACCCCTGGGTGGTTGCTGCGGGGACGGCTGCGGCTGCCGGTTCGGCTGCTGTGCCGGCCGACGAGGCCTGGCGGGTGCTCGCCCGTGCGCTTGTCTGGCGCCCCACGCCCACCTTCCCGATCGCCGTCCCCCTACTTCGCCTCAGTGTGCGCCTTGGCACCCACCTCCAGCTCGCCCCTGCCTACTGCGACCTCCATGCTAAGCATTCCGCCTTTGTGGCGGAGGCCTTTGGGTCCCCCGACGCCCCCCCTGCACTCCTTGCTGGTTTTCGATCTACCTTGGCGCGGCTGTGGCGCCTGCGCTGGGAGAACCAACACAAGGAGGCGCTGTGGCGGCTCGCCCTCAACGGCTGCGCGGGCTTCCCTCTGCATGCCAGCCATGCCGCCCGGGAAGCTGCGCAGGGCCGTTCGTACTCCTTGGCCTGCCCGTGTGGAGCACCCCTGGTCGCCCTTGGAGTGGCACAAGATCGGTTACACTTGTTTTGGGAGTGCTTTGTGGCCCGTACCCTTCGTGAGGCCCTGGGCGAGGCCTTAGGTGCACCCGTGGGCTCCCTTGATAGTGCATTTTCTAGGCAACATTTGTGGTTAGTCCAACCTCCAGACGGTGTGCATGGATGTGTGTGGGATGTCGTGGCGCTGGCCGCTCTTTCGGCTCTTGAACAGGCCCGTAGGTGGTTGTATGCTGAGCACAGTGGCCGGGCCCCCCTCCCCAGACGGTCCCTTGTTGTGCTGGGTGCTCGTGTTGTTGCTGATTTCTGGTCTCGCCTCCAGTCCTTTGCTGTCTTAGGTGTGCCTCCCCGCGGCTGGGACTGTGTTCCCCCTATTCACCCTTTCCTTGCAAATGCGGCTGGCCGTGTCCGGTTTGTTGGCCCGCCTGATACTGCGTCCCCGCCGGCCTCCCCCTGACCCTGGTTTGTTCTGCCTTTGACAAGCCTTCTGGTTGCTATTCCCTTAGGATCACGCACATGTCGATAGACTTGGTGGCAGTTGGGCACTGCTGTGACACTATGCTGCAGCTTGGCGGTTGCTCTGTACAGTTTTGTTGCTTCTTTCGCGGGCTTGGCCTGTGTGATGTTTCCCCCCCGTGGGCTTGGTGGTTGTGGTGCTGTGGCCTTGCGGGCTTGGTTTTCGGTGGTTATGTGTCTGGCATGGCTCCTTGTTTTTTGCAGGGCATGTCCCTGGGGTAGGTTGCTTTGTTGCGGCTGCCTAGCGTGTACCGCTAGCGATTGGGTCTCTTGTACGGCTGTCAGGCTTTCAGGAGCTCCGGTCCCCCTTGTAACTTTCGCATTCTAAATGGTACCAGGATCCAAAGTCGGACGAGCTCGTAGCGAGGACGTTATCAACCCCGGCTTAAGCATCTTGGCTATAATCAACATTTCTGAACAGGAAATACGTTCAACTTGCCAAAAAGCGTTGGGAAGCTGTCTATTGCGACGGTCAGCTAAGGAGCCCTACGGGCCACATCCTATCGAAATCCAATGCTGACCAGGATACCCAGTGCAGCGCAAATCCTGAGGATGCGCCAGTTGGATGCCTCGAAACTTAAGCTTTGCTTCTGGTAGTGGTATCCTTTTACGCTACTCCCTGGCCACATGTCCTTACAGCCGTCTCAACCCGCATGGCCCTTTATCGCGTCCCTTAGCCCCCTGCCTCCGTACCCTGCACCTTTCCCCCGTTGCCCCATACGTCGCCCCTCCTCAGTGCGGGAGGGGCGACGCATGGAGTACCGGGGGGGCGTCTGTTGGCGGCAATACATACAGCAGCCATGATTGGGCTGCGGCGGGAGGGGTTGGGGAAGGGATGGAGTCATGGAGAACTACGTGGGATGCGGTGACGTTGGGGCGGCATGCGGAGGGAAGGAGAGGGTACAGCATACAGCGGTTGGGAGCGTAGGGCAGCGTTGAAGTGACGGCATTGCACGTGGGGGACGTGATAAGAAATGGGGTGCGAAGGAAGGGGTCAAGGGGACTCAACAAACCGGTGGGGTGGGGTAAGGAAACACAAGATATACCAAAACCACAGGTTAGGGGGGGATTGGGCTGTGCTCGGTTTGGCTGTGATCGTTTGGACATAGAGCGTGTGGGTGATGGCAATACAAGGGGGGAGCGTAGGAAGGTGCGGGGTGTGAAGGTAGGGGGGTTCACGAGGCGGGATGGATGGCTACACGGGTTGGGATGACGGGTTGGGCGTGTGTAGGAACGCGTTGACTACCGCCTGCATCTCCTCTGTTTCCTTGCGGAGACAGCCATAGACGCAGACGCCTGCCCGTGCATCACCACGTGCCTTAGCCTCCCCTACGCCCGGTGGATATCCATCGCTGACCGCTCCATTAATGTTCCTTTGCCGAAGTTAAAGATGACACGATAGCTGGGCATGTTCCATAATTTGCCCTCCCGGTAAGAAGCAACAGTAACCTAGTAGACAACCATGCACCACGCTGGCCATGACGAGCGATTCTCAGGCTAGGCCGCAGAGATGGTTATCCTGGCCGACGGCTTATCTTAGTAGTGTTCCTCGTTCTCTATTGAACTACCTACAGTTGTTAGGAATGCGTCAAGGAGCAGCCCGTAGGGCTGCTGAGCAAAGCATCACAATTAACAGGCGCTCAACGTTTTTCTATTTAACTGTCATATCCCCTGTCTAGTGGTGTTTAAATCTTGACAAGATGCGCTACTTTGTGTTGATAATGTCCTCGCTACGAGCTCGTCCGACTTTGGATCCTGGCACCAGTTAGGGTCGTCGCAGACTCCCGTGGGGGGTAGGGGCGCTGTACCGTCAACACGGCTATCCTAACCCCAGGTGTCGTCAGTCTGGCCACTGGTAAAGGTGTGATTTCGGTTTGTCCAACAGTACATGTGTGTGAAACCTCAAACTACGGTCCCATCTCTTACGGCTATTTATTTGTAGTCGGTTAGTCGCAATGGCCCAGAAAGGCTCAGTGGTAACGCTCACTGTCATAGCTGTAACTTCTATGTACTAAGCGTGCAGCCAGAGTATCTTGGTAGAGATTGCATCAAAGTAGTCAGCAATGTTTAGCTGGAAAGCACCTAGCGTCCACACGGCCATATCTAGCACAACGATGCCAGCCGCGTGCCTGTCGCATAGTAAGGTACATGTACACCAGCTATGGACAGGGCATATTAGGAAAGGTAGTTGTCCAAATCGGTCAGATGTTGCAGCATGGACGCGTCGACGATGGGCTCGTCGCTCCGCGAGCCAGGCGATCCAAGAGCAAGTCCAGAATACAACTTCGCTAGTATCAGAGGTAGCTTTGTAAGCGTCTTTCTGCCTACGGCGGTTTGGCCGCGAAAGCAATGGGCCGTTAACATGACGGTCGTCTCACCACGCTGCTTTCGCTCCCCCCCAGGACACACGCGCAACTCAAATGTATGAATACAAGTATGAGGTAAGATCTTCGATAGGTTCCGAATAGGGTGACATCTCTGGTGTCCTTCCCTGCCATTTCCTTGCGCGTTGCCCAGCTGGCCCGCGCCGTGCCCTTCACACGCGCTTCCCACACGACCTTCCCTTTTTGCTCGAGAAAATTGTCCGCCTGAGCGCCTCTTTTCCCTTTGTCACCTTTGCCTCCTCACTCCCTTCTCGTCCCATCCCGCCCCATCGTACTTCACCATACCACCCCTCCTCCCCTCCCCTTCCCCCTCTCCTCCCTCAAGTTCGACCTGCCGGAGGGCCGTGTGGTCATCCAGCCCCTCACCCCGCCCCTCATCGACCCGACCGCCGACCTGCTCTCCGCCTCCTTCCTCGCCTCCTCCGCCCACCTGGCACCCTACACCCGCTACCTGCGCGCCAACATCCGCCGCTACCTGCAGGAGCACCGCGCCCTGCCGCCCCGGGCGCTGGTGCTGGTGGCGGTGCTCCTGCAACCGCACCAACTGCCGCAGGGACAACAGCAGGGTCATTTGCAGCAGGCGCAGCAGGGGCCGCAGCAGCAGGGTCAGTCGCAGCCGCGGATGGCGAGCGCGGCAGCAACACCGACAGCAGCAGCAGTGTTGAGTGCCCCCTGCGCTGCAGCTGTTGTGACCTGCGGTGCGACCGAGGGAATGGAGGAGGAGAAGGCGGAGAAGGCTGCAGGGCCGGCGGGGGAGGTGGAGGGAGGGTTGGCGGGGGGTGCGGGTGCGGAGGTGGAGGCGGGTGGTGGGGTGGTGGTGGGCAGTGCGGAGGTGTCGTTCCACCCGGGCACTCGATCACCACAGCCCTTCCTGAATGCGCCGGAGGTAAGGAGCGGGGCGGGGGAGGTAAGGAGGTAAGGATCGGGGGGTGCTTGAGGCCTCTTGAGGTCGCCGGCTTTCAAGATTATGGGGTGGGAGGAGCGGGTGCCTGGCTGCTGTGGGGATGGCGGTTCTCTCGATGGGTGCGGCAACCTGCATGTGCGCGGATCCTCCTTTCGACCCGGCTTGGTGGTGATAGTGGTTTCGGACTGCGTGCGGTCGCTGTTTGACGCGCCGCGCGCCTAGCTCAGCAGCAGTGACCAGTCCCCTACCGGCCATGGGAGCGTACCTCTTTGGCAATCAGCCTCGGTTTAGTTACTGCATGTGTTTCTGAAACAGTTCCTGCTGCTGTTCCGCGCGCGCAGAAGTGCTCCTACCTGTGCAACATGGCGGTGGCGCCGGAGTACCGCCGCAGGGGGGTGGCCACGCGGCTGCTGCGAGCAGCTGAGGAGGTGGCGGTTCGGGTGATGCAGGAGAGCGAGATGTACCTGCACCTGCGCTTCGTGGTGAGATCGCACCAAATATAGGCGTGTTTGCTGGCTGGCTGGGACGGCTGCGGCTGCGGGTCTTGAGCAACACGAGTATGTGGGTTGCTTGCAGGATGGTGAAGCGGCAGCGTTGTATGAGCGCACGGGCTTCAGGATTCGAGGCCAACACTGGCCTATTGTCCCATTAGTGGGATTGCAGCGGCTCAAGCTGATGCACAAGGAAATTGCCAAGTAAACAGGAGTGAAGGTAAGGTGAGGATTGTCATGGCGTGGGGAGGGGAATAAGAGAGAGACCAAGGGCGTAGGATGGGAAGGGAGGGGCTATCCCCGCTGAGTTAGGATTCCTTTACCTAACGAGAGAAGGGTCCGGGCGGATGTATGTGACCCGTAAACACGTGGGGCAATTGCGAGGCAATGTGCTGAGAAGGAATCGTAGAGATCTCTAACTTTGTGCGTCTGTAGATATGGTCTATTCACACGGTCTGCATATAGGCTCGTTGGTCATTCCGTTTGGTACTGTACTGGAGGAGACGCGTTCCTCGATCCACGGTGGTCGTACTCAAAAAGACTTTGTCCACAGTCCAACCTTGCTAAGTGTTGCCTTGTACTGTCACATATATACAACTTTGACCTTGACACTAAATATTTAACTTTTATACTTAGGGAGACGAAGCCTCGACAGCTGTCCTTTGCCAAGCTGCACATAGGCAGCCCTATCTGACATTCAATTTCTTCCTGCTCTCTTTCTCTTTATTTGCTCAAATTGGACTGGCGTATGGACTACGCGGCTGGTCTCCACAGGGACCCTTCGCTGACTCCAGCGATGTCTGACCCCGGAACATCAAGACGAGGTCTGGACGAGACACCAGTAGGCTCGGCTACGAAACGAGCAAAACGTACAAAAACCAAGACTCGTCGTCGTGCAGAAGCGGGGCTTCGAAATGCTGCGCAAGTCCCGCAAAAGACTACCAGCCGTTTGCGAGTGTCGCGCGGCGCTCGTGACCTCCTATTAAAGCTGGAAAAAACAATGGAGGACGCAGTACATCTCGTGGACCGGCTTCTTGCAGTGGACTTCAGTGCCGACTACATGGGCTATGTGACAATGCATCGGCCCCCGCCCTCCACGCCTCCGCAAGCAAGGATAGCCACGGACGCATCCCTGCTCGCAACCACGCCGCCCCGTCCAGGCAACCACGTGCAAGCGGCTCGCGCGGTGTTCGAGAAGCTCAACTGCACGTTGGCTTTGACAGAGGCGGCACAGCTGTCAGCGCAGATTGCCAACCTCAAGGTGACAACTACGCCGCCGCAGCAGCGGCCGCCGCAGGCCCAGCGGCCGCTCAACAACGGCGCGCTCACCAGCCGCGAGCTCCGCTACCCTCCCACCATGTCGCCTGCCCAGTCCTACCTCAAGGTGCTCACCGGGGCCTCAGGCCTGGCGGCCAGCCCAGGCCCGCTGTCTGCGCGCGCCCCTCGCGTACCGCCCCTCTCCGGCGCACCGCTGCGCACGTGCGTTGGACCAGGCGACCGCCCCTCCCCGGCGCGCCCGCCACTCACGGCACGGCCCTCGACACAGCTCAAGGCCGCGGTGACAACACGCCTGGCGGCAAACGCCGCCGCTGCTCTCAACGCCGCCATCAACCCATCCCACCCCGTCAGCACCGCCCCGCTGCAGCAACAGCGCTCCATCCCGATGCCATCGGACCCGCCCAGCTACCCCTCCTCCATTCCGCCACCTCCTCCCTCCGCTCCCTCCTCCTCCCTCATGTCTTCCGGACCCACAGTGCACCCGGTAATACCCACCCTCAGCCTGGGGCCTCTGGGATCCCCGCTCTCCCCCTGCCTCGCCGTCGCCGCACAGCTCAACAGCCCTGCTGCCACCCGCCGCGCCTCCATCCCTGGCGGGCCCGCGGCTACCACCGGCATCACCCCGCCCAGCGAGCAGCCTCCTCAGGCGCCGCTGCCTTCGCATCGCGGCCCGGTGTTGGACGGCGCAGCGGCGGTGGCGGCGGTCAAGAAGGCGGCGTCGGCCATGCTGGCGCTGAAGCTGCCGCTCGACGAGGCCTCGAAGCGGCCCTGGCACAACGGGCGGTATGAGGAGCCGGAGCAGGCGAGTGCGCGGTATGGCAGGTCGGCTGCGGAAGGTATGGCGCCGCTTGGGGATGGGCGCCCGATGTCTGCGCGTGTGGGGCCGCCGGTGCCGAGCCTGAAGCTGGGCGGGATTGCACGTTAGTCGTGTGTTGGGGGTGTTCTAAGGGGGTGAGAGAAGAGCGCGACCTGGGATTGGTTACTAGAGCTGGAGGCATGGGGTTGGCCTGGAGGGATGCTGGGCCAGGAATGGGAGAGGGGAGTGGCTGAGGGGATAAGCAGAGCGTTATGTGAGTGAAGGCTAGCAGGTCTCCATGAGAGCGGTGTGGGTTATCCTTAAGAGAGTTGGACTGGTGTAACATTACAGGAAGACTAGGGCAGCTGGGATGGTGCGGTTTGCCCAGCTGCGTTATGACAGCCTTGCGTTGACTGTGTCTTGACGGGTGTTGTGTTCAATGGCGATGTGATCCAAGCGCCATTTCAATAGTTTGACGGCTGCTGCCTGCTGTTGCCGGTGTTAGTTTTGCCCGGTCCTAGCGGTCGTCATGGTGCCCGCTAGTGGCAGTGAGGTGTCACAGGGGGGGCGTACATAGGACCGTGACAAGTATGACATAGGTGCACTGCGGCGCTTAGGATACGTAGTTGACACGACGCTAGATGGAGGATTGGTTACGTAGGTGCGTTTTCCTAATCCTCCTCTGCTGCCACAGCAGCAGTCATGCTCTAGAAAGACATTCCGTTATTTCCACAACCAACGTGTGGTGTGTGGCTTGAAGAGTAAATGGCCACTGAATTAGGCTAATGGAGCTGCCTGGTAAGACGTGACGGCAGGGGTACAGCAGAAGTCTTTGAGGACCGCTGTACGTAGGTATACTTGGACATACCATGACTGGACGTTTACGACGTGACTGCTGGACATGCATATCTAAGCGCTGCGGCCTTGAAACAATGCGCTGCCTTGACCACTATAGATAGGACCAGACAGGTGCGGGGCCACAGCGACTGCGTGCAACACGCGCTACCGGTACCGGTATGCTGACCTAAATTAACATGAGACCGGCAGCCTGCGTGTGGAGGTAGGGCGGAGCTGGAGGTGGTTCTTTCGTAGTTTCAGCGGCGAATACAGCAACGCGTGGTTGCCGTCGCTCGGTAACCCGTGCCAGGGGGGCAAATTTATGTCGTGGTGCGTTTGCTTCCTTGTCATGGCCTGTCGCGTCGGTGAATGTAGCTGCTGGCCTTAGGTGACGGGCATAAAGCAGTCTGCTCCTGGTCCCTGGTCGTTGAAGGAGAAGGTGTAACCAATGCTTGTTCGTTGTGTCGTACCCTAATCTTCGTTGCCTCAGCTGCTGCACACACGGCGTAACACTGGTATGCAGCTCCCTCGCAGCAAATGCGGCCCCGCCCAGCCTGAGTATACGTGCTTATCTTGTCGCTTAGTTACCAATCGTTATGTCACCAATAGAACGTACTAACGCTGATTTAAAGCAAGTCCGCCCTAATGACCGCATACAAGCATAAGGTAACATGCTCTAAGCGCGGGTAGTTTATAACTTTCAATGCCAGCAGCTTGTGCACTATTGCCATAGTTGACAAAGCGTTTCGACTGGCGTCGTAACATGCACATTGCTTGGCATACCAGTTACGCAGCGCACACCAAACAACGCAGCCCCACTCTCCAACAGCTTTGTAATGTGTTTTTCTTTGGCGCTGAGGCTCTTGCAATGCTGGGTCGCGACCCACGGGTCACCGCAGTGAACTGCCTCGGTCTTACGCCATCGGATTGCGCAACAGCAGCCGCTACAGCGAAACCACGCGGCACTGATCTTCATGCTTCCCATTCTCCCCAGTTCTTCCCTGCCAACAGCTCCATGCAGTTCTGATGTTGTTGCTTGCATAGCCGGACAGCTGGGATCAGCTGACTGGCGCAATCCTAGGCAGTCGTCACCGGAACGGTATCCAAGCGGCCTCCCTTGTTACACCTTAGCAACATGGCCACGGCGCTGCTCCTACTGCTGCTGGCCTCGGAGTCCCTGCTTGCCGTCACGCATCTCAAGGTGTGTTGGTACACGTACGCCCGGCTGGGAGGTCGGCTTTAACACGCCCGGCGGGGCACCCCGGGGCAGCAACAGTCACTCTTGCAGCAGCAGCCAACCCCAGCACCCCTACCACCGTTCGTCGCGGCAGAAAAGGACTGAGGCGCAAGCCTCCCTCGGGAACCTTGTGTTGATTACCTTTGCCGCCTAAGTTGCCCATGTTTGCCTGTACGGCAGGTGCTGTGCTGCGTGGGTCGGCCGTACCCTGTGTCGTACCTCAGTCGGCAGCGCTGGCGCTACTTTATGTGGGACCTAGCCAGCGTGCAGGTGGGGACCGTCTGAGCGTGGGTGGATAGTGACCCTCTAGCTACCTACTCTAGATACCCTAAACCCCGACCCTGTTCTGCCTTCCTGCTGACACCGCGTTCCGGTTCTGTTTCAATTCACGGCAACGCTAGTCCCATTCTGCTCCTGCCTCCGCAGCTCTCGCTACTGGCCATCTCCTACCACTCGTACACAGCAACACGGATTCCTGCACCGTCGCCGCAGCTTCCAGCCGGTGCGGGCAGCCCGCCCCTAGCGCCGCCTCCTGCTGACGCAGCCTCTCGCAGGTCGCTGGGGTCCGGGCCGTCTGGTTGCGCTGGCAGTTGTCAGGGGCTGCCGCTGCAGCAGCAGCAGGGCTACTGCCCCTTTTCAACTGGCCCTTGCTCCGAAGACGAAAACATGACCACTAGCAGAAGCAGCGCTTCCAATGGCGATAGTAGGCACATGCAACACAGCAACACCCATGCCAGCGGGGGTTCTAGTCCGGCCCTCGTCCTGCCGGCCGCCGCAATCCCCCGGCCACTGCTATTGGCTGCTGCTGCGGCTGCTGCGGCTCATGCGGCGCTGCATGCCTTCTACATCGCCGGCTGGAACACCCCCCATACACGCCAGGTGGGAGCGAGCCCGCTCATACATGCACCAACCCATCCCCTTCTACCAGCCTCAACGCGTATATGAGCGTTTATACCGGTACTTCCTTTGGGGGATTTCCACGACCGCTTGTTATCTATCAATGAAGGGCCTTGAAGCGCATCTAGCTACAACTTAGCTTGCAAGCCGCATCATCCCTACTTCCCCACCCTCAGGTGGTGGCCATGTCGGCCCTGCGCAGCGTGCGAGAGCGGCTGCAGCGCTTTCCGCCGCTGCGGGTGGCTTGGTACACGGCGGGGACGTCATTCGACATCGCCACGCACGGCCTCATGGGGGCAGCGCTCAGCTGGCAGGTGCTGCTGCCGCTGCAAGATAACGAGAGCTAAAGCAGGCGCCTGCAGGAGGCGCTTGCGGGTGTGAAGGGAAGAGCCGGCGAGGGGAGGTAGCGAGCCATGTATGGGCGGATCAGAGCTCTGTTGGTTAATGTGGTTAGAATGGTGGTGTTTAAGCTATTGCGGTTTGTGGGGTCTGGTAGGATACTGGTGGTTGGGTCGCCTGCTTTATCCGCAGGCAGGACATTTGTAAGCCAACGGTTGGATTCGTCAACGAATTGAGGCAACCGTCAACGACGGCTTACGACTGGCAAGGCAACACGCGCTATGCGCTACGAAGCCTCATCACGACGGAAAGCGGGTGATACTTGCGCAATTGACTCGCACTAATTGCCGCTTTGCATGAGGAGCCGGAGATTATTGTGGCCCAAACGCGACATACGACATATACCACTATGCTGCCTGGGTGCTCACACGTCAGGCAGGCAGATGGAGTATGCGTAACTTGCATAGATTGAAGTGTAACCATAGGTGGCTGACAGACACCTATTGATTGCTTGTCGTCTATCAATCTCGCATAGAAGGCATTCCTTAACTCCCAATGTGACGTATGAGGTATGATCTAATACAGCAGCCCTCTTAGGTCTGCAAGCAGTGGCCCTCCTCCCAATCGGACCTGCTCAGCCCAGTCGCGGCTTCCTAACTTATTCCCTCGGCCGTATCAGCTACTTCTAAAATAACGTGTGTTAAACTAATCTTTAAGCTTCACTTATTCCTTAAGAGTCTGGTCACCAGGCTTGCGAGCAACTGCAAGACGTGCGTGCGGCCATGTGTGGCTGCCATGACAAGCAACGCCACTCCAAATCAGGAACTGACCCACGGGTCTTGGCTTGGCGCAGCGGGCGCTTCTTGCTCTGCGCACTGCTTTACTTCAATCAGCACTGCGCCTTCATTGCATTGGGCGGCTATTCATCCCTAGCAACGGCTACCTCAGGTCCTCCGGTACGGCAATCCGCAGCTGCAGCACTGCCGTACTTGCCGTACAGTCAATTACGGGACTTCATCATCGCGTCCCCCTGGCGCCATGAGGAGGAGTTTGAGTACTGGACGGATGGCTGGGCGACTGCAAAGGAGCAAGAAGTCAGCAGGCTACACCAATCGGGAAGTAGCAGTACCAGCGGCAGCAGCAGTAGCAATGGCAAATGGGCCAGCATTGGCGATGATGATGATGATGTGGGTTTAGCTGGTTCACCCAAGGGTCCCAAGCCTTACCCGCAGCCCGCTGCAGCACCACCGAGCTCCTACCGGTATTGGGGCCTTCTGCAGCAGCGCCCGCGGGAGGCGGAGGGGCCAGTAGTCGTGGGCAGTGGTGGGCCTGCTGCCGCATTTCGCCGTCCGCCGCCTCGCAGGCTGATCCAAAACGGTCAAGTGGTCTCCATCAAACGGTGCGTTCATGTATACAGCCTACCTAGAAACATGGCTGCTGCAGTCGTTACTAGGGCCCCTTGTGTGTTTGTGGACGCGACTGCATGGTGACGCGACCTACCGCCATCATTACGGTACGCATATGCAGATAGTAACAGGCGGAGAGGAAGTACCGGTAGTCAAACTGCTTGCTGCCTAAGCCAGAACTCGTTGCCCAATGCTCGCACCTGCTGCCCTGCCTGCCCGTGAACTGCAGCTACCCCTACGTGGCGGTTGTCACGCGCCCGGACGGCTCCTACCTCTGCGCCGGCTCGCTCATCCACCCCCGGTACGCCCACAGTCCCTTCGCCTGTCCGGCCAATCGCACCCCGTCGCTCCCTAACACCCCAGTCTTACAAGAACACGCATCTTCCTTACAGCATTTCTGATCAGAACCCATTCTCTGCATCCTTTCCACATTACAGACATGCACCCCCGACATCCTCGCTCAAAACCCACATCCCAAAACACGCCCCAATCTTACCCCCTCTTGCTTCCCGTATCCCCTCCTCCTCCTCCTCTTCCCCGCCCCTCCCCCCTCAGCCTGGTCGTCACTGCCGCGCACTGCGTGACCCCCGCCGTGGGCGGCAGCACCGACCCCCTGGTCCACCTGGGTCTAGACCACCTGCAGCCCACCGCCTCAGACGCCGTACAAACCCTGGGCAGCAATCTGGCTGCTGCTGCTGCTGCGGGAGCCAACGCGCTGAGCAGCGGCAGCGGCGGCGGCGGAGCGCTGGTGAGCGCGCTGACTGCACTGGTGGGACTGGGCAGCACGGGCGGCCGCGCGGGGGGGCCGGCGCTGGCCACCAAGAGCACGCCGCATCCCAGATACAATCCGGGGTAAGGCCGGGAAGGGGTGGGATATCGGGAAACGTAAACGTGTACATACACGGATTTGCCCTGGGTAGTGGAGAAAAAAGGATAGCCTAGGGTTACGGGAGGGTTGCTGTTGCATGCAAGGGGCGGTGTCGCCAGGTATGCCGTACGTGGGCCGCCGGGGGTTGCCGCCATTTGGTTGAAGTTCCTCTGCTGCGACCCGCCCTGCCTCTCCATCCTCGCCCTGCCCTGACCCGCCGCGCAGCATCTTTGATTTCGACGTGGCGGTGCTGGAGCTGCGAGCGGACGCGCCCAAGAGCGCCCGCATTGTCAGGTGAGAGGGAGGGTCAGGGAGGGGAACCACCATAACGTTCCACATCGGAAGTCACGTTGAGTAGCACCCAGCTTGCTTGGCCTTAACTAACCTCTCTCGCCCCGGTCGCCTCCGCCCATCCCCGCCACCTTCCCCTTCCCCCCACCCTCTCCAGTCAGTTTTCCTTATTTTTACCCCCCCCACCCACCCCCACCCTCTGCAGGCTGCCCCAGGTTGGCTCCACGCCCCTGCCGCCCTCCACCCACCTCACGGTGCTGGGCTGGGGCGCCACGGAGGACAACACGCTGAGTGACGCGCTGCGCAGCGGCGGAGTGAGCCGCCTGGATGCGGAGCAGTGCGCCAAGCTGTTCAAACCGTACGGCACGGAGCTGACATCACGCATGGTGTGCATGACGGGTGGGTGGAGATGGGGTGTGCATGAAGGGGTGGGGTGGGGTGGGTTGGGTTGGGTTCGCGTTGCAAGGATTACGGTTCCGTGCGGTGCATGAATCACTGGGGAGAGTACCGGTGATGCCAACGCCCAACGGTGAGGTTGGATGCGGCATCCCACCCAGTTGCTAGCACTTTCTCCCAGTCCTAAATCTACGGGACTACAGCATAACGCGACAACGCGAGAACCCCACCGACCCCGCCCGTGCATGCTCAATATGTCGACCACGCAGGCCGTACGTGCGCGGGAGACTCCGGCGGTCCCCTCATCCTGCACACCAAGCGCGGCCGCAGCAGCAGCAGCAGCAAAGACATCAACCGCAAGAAGAATAGCAAGAAGGACGCCGACGACGATGCCGACATCGAGGAGGGCGAGGAGGATTACGTCACTGTTGAAGCTGCCGACGATTCCAACGCTGCCGACGGCGGTGCCGATCCCGCTGACTATGATGTGCTGGTGGGTCAGGTGTCGTTCGGCTTCCCGCGCCGCAAGGGCCAGGGCTGCCCGCAGCCCAACCCCGCTACCGTGTTCAGCGACCTGCGTAACCCGGAGATCAATGCATGGCTGCGAGCCAAGATAGCGGAGCTACACCAGCAGGCGGTGAGGCGTGGAAGGGGAGGAGAAGAAGCTAGCGAACCGTATGACAAGGCTTCACCAAGGGAGAAGAAGCTAGCGAACCGTACGACAGGGCTTCATCAAGGGTTGCAACATGGGGACCAACTCAGCCGGGCTGGAACACTGACTGTGACCGGAAGGGGGCGGGGAAAAGGGGAAGGGGACATAGGATAGGGGTAAGCACCATAGGCGAGTCGTAGAAAGGGGGCGGGTAGGAGGGAAGCCTGCATGCCTTGACGACCCATATCGTTACCGGGGATGCATGCAGGCCGACGGTCCAAGTGCCGGTGCGCCCGCACCCAGCGACACTCCCAGCGACAGTCCACCTGGACGGTGATGGATGGAGGAGCTCTGGGCGGACGCAGCGGCTATTGTATGGGCCTGGTTATCCATGCAGCAACACTTAGTAGCAAGGGACATGGCGTAAGCGGGCAGTAGCTAGCGGGCGAGGTTTATTTCGCGCGGTGTGTTGTTGTTGATGTGTGTGATTCCGCGTTCGGCGCTTGTTGTTGAGCCAGGGAGCAATGTCGCTGGATGGAACTGATGTTGCGGTAGTCAAGGGGTGGATGCGAACTGCCAGCCCTTGTCTTGTTCCATCTGCATGTGTACACCTTTCATCATTGTAATGACACGTGCAGTAAGTATACAGCTATGGTCAGTCAACTTGGTACTCACTTGGCATCCTTGCATGCGGACATCCAATCATAAAAGAAAGCACACAAAAAAAGAAGCATGCCCGCGCCTTCATGTATCACATGCTGGACTTCTAGGAAGCGACAATTGCACGGCAAGGACAGCACGCTCAGCATAGCATTGGCGCCAACATCGTACGCCCTATTAAAAATCCCATATAGCAGCCCCATGTTTCCGATGAACGACGCACACATAGCGAGCAACTGTATTTATTGCATGTAACGTGGAAAAGTACAGGACCTTGCGGATTAGGACTTCCTCAAGCGCATCTGCTGCAAAACATCAGGCTGTTTAGCGTATAACGCCTGTTTCAGTATGTCTTATGAGGACTACGGCTACGGAGAGGAGGAAGTCGATGAAGACTTCGACCAAATTGAGTTCAGGTCCGCATTCGTAGGGCCACCGTCGAGTATAGGAGCGCCTATATATCGCCTAGGTAATACACTACACCTAACGCTATGTGTCTGAAACGCTCTACAGGCCTCCTCCGGGAAAGCCCCCTGCTGCACAGGCAGGCCAGCCCTCTAACGCCCCGAACCTAGACGACGGTGAGATCTAACATCTTCAGACGACCCAAATAGCGAACCATTTCCTCATGTCTATGCGTCTGGAGCTGCGCGTCCCTGACCCTTGATTGTTGTCGACGCTTCACGGCAGGGCCGATTGGTGTCAAGCGTGCACGGACGAACGACGAAGTAAGTGTGGGACCGTCTTGCAACACGGGTTATTTTGAAGTATCTACGGTTCTCATGTTCGCCATCCGTGATAGCAGTTCGAAGGTCGAGCAATGGAGGTCATCCCTAATGGGACCCGCCTTTGGGACTTCCCTTAATAGCCCAGCTCTTAACCGAACTCCCTTCCATGGCCCTTTACCTTTGGTTGCAGCACCACGTAGACGTCAACTCGCCAACCGAATATGTTCCTGACACCCATGACCAGCACAACGGCTACCAAGACAGCTACCAACAACCGCTCGCCAAGAAGGCCGCAGGCGGAGCACCAGGCTCTCAAGTTGCCATGCCTTCAGCCTACAACTACGACTCCTCTGCCGCCGCTGCCGCCCCCGCCGCCAGCTCTGCCCCTCCAGGCAACGCTGTGCTGTGCATGTGCAACGAGGCAGCTATAAAGCGCGTGTCGAACACAGGCAAGAACCCCGGCCGCGCGTTCTTCAAGTGCGCTAAGCCCTCCTCTGAGCAGTGCAAGTTTTTTAAGTGGGAGGACGAGCTCGATGGCAACGGCGGCGGTGCAGCCAAGGGCGGCGCCGGGGGCGGCGGTGCGGGAGGGTACGGCGCGTACGGCAGCTCCTATGGTGGTGGCACCACTGGCGCGTACGGCAGCGCTGGTGGCGGCGGCGGCAACCCGTACGGCAGCAACCCTTATGCTGGCAGCCAGGCTGCAAGCAGCGCTGTTGGTGGAGGTTATGGCTCGTACGGCAATGGTAGCGGTGCCCGAAGCGGCAGCGGCGGAGGCGCCTGGGGCAGCAGCGGTGGTGCAGAAGCAGCGGGCGGCGGCGTTGCTGATGCGGGTCCGAGTGGAGAGGAGTTTGTCAAGTGCATGTGCGGCGAGAACTGCCCAGTGAAGACGTCCAACAGCGCAAACAACCCTGGTCGCCAGTTCTACGCCTGCCCCAAGATGCGTGATGTGAGCCGGTGGTTGGGACGGTTGGAATAGGACGAGAGGTGTCGGTTATGTTGCATGGCAACGGTTATGTTGCATGGCGAAGTTTGCGTCGAACCATTTGGGTCGCATGAACTTCTGGTCCATAGCCTCTGCCCCCTTCTATTGTTAGCTGGTCTGGTTTGCTGGTCTACAGTCCACTCCCGATCCTGATTCCTTCCTGATCCCTCATGGGGTCCTCACCGCCGTTGCCTGCTGATAACCTTTAGGGTGGAGCGACCGTTCCGTGCCGACCCAGATCGTAGGCAACCCGCCTCTGCTGGCCGTCCTGCTACTTTGATCTTGTCCGGACCGCTACCCTCCCTCACTGACCCTCTTTCGCGCCCCACCTCCTGTCTTGCCTTGACAGGATTCCACACGCTGCAACTTCTTCCAGTGGGCTGACCAGGTTGGCACCGGCGGAGGTGCCGGCGCAGGGGGCTTTGGAGGCGGTGGTGGCGGGGGCTTTGGCCCCGGAGGTGGTGGTGGCGGCGGCAACTGCTTCCTCTGCAATCAACCAGGTGATGACGGGCCTTACGACGCTGTTGGGTGGCTAGTCGCCTTGCAGAGTGTAGGGTTGTTGCTCCTATCAAAGCTAGCATTCCATAGCAACGCGTACATGATGCTTGTTATAACCTGCTTTCCCGCATGCCGTATGTTTGGTGCCGCAGGTCACTTCGCAAGCGCATGTCCGCAGAAGGCTGCAGGCGGTGGTGGGGGTGGCTTTGGGGGCCGCAGCTCTTTTGGCGGCGGCGGCGGTGGAGGCGGTGCGAGCGGCGGTGCGCCTTGCTACCTGTGCAACCAAACCGGTGAGGGCGTTGCTCACTAATGCGCAGCGGTGTGGGTCGCCCAATGTGCACTAAAGGGAAGTGCCCTCGTGACTCTTGCTTGGGAAGGTAGAAGGCGTGTGCTGCAATCAAGGGTCACACTCTTTTGGCTCCGTTTACCTACCTCATCCGTTTTTTCGTTAACAGGCCACTGGGCGCGTGACTGCCCAAGCAAGCAAGGCGGTGGAGGCGGCGGTGGTTACGGCGGTGGACGCGGTGGAGGCGCCGGGGGGCCGCCTCAGTCGTTTGCCAGCCGCTTCAACCGGGAAGGTGGTAGCGGCGGTGGCGGTGGAGGTGGCAGCTATGGCGGCGGCAGCTTTGGCGGCGGCAGCTACGGCGGTGGTGGTGGCGGAGGCGGCAAGGGCAACTGCTACAAGTGCGGTCAGCCAGGTGAGTACCTCCCTCCCTCCCGGCTCGTAAGGCTTATAACCTCCCTTCCATTCCGCCCGCCAGCTTTCGCGGACAGCATGCATGCTCCGCATCCTGCAGCTTGGTCGGCATGTGGCAAATGCCCGCCTGTTGAGCTCAGCGTTCGACATGTCACCACCCGGAAGACACGTGTGTCGCCGACTCTTATCGTGCTAACTGTGTGCTGCCTGCTGCCTCCTCGCAGGCCACTGGGCAAGCAACTGCCCCAACTCCCGATGAGCAGTGGCTCCAACTCAACTGCGGCCGCCCTGCATGTTCAGTTAAGAGCTACACCTTGTAGGGCTCTACCGCTGGGAGGGGATTTTGGCGACCTCTTCAACTGTATTCCGTGCGAAGGTGTTCGTACGGCAGCAGTGTTAGGAGCAGGCTGTTTCTGGGAGCAGAACGTGTTTGGGCCTGAGTGCAGGTTGTGGCAGGCAAGCAGGCTTACGCTGTCACTGAAGCGTGTAGTAAAAGAACCCCAACTTCGCATTCAGGGCCTGGGGATGTCTCTCGCGGGTTTGAAAATAATATAGTGCATGGAAGATGTGGGTTGGGTCATCAGGCGCCGCCATTGACGGGTGCCATGGAGGCGTCGCAAGAATTCGAGCGTCATCAGACTGCCGTACTCCCTCGTGACATCGTACGTGTACGGAACCGGTTAAGCGGATTACAGTGCCAACGGCACCAGCGCAAGGCTCACACCGGTATGTGTGTAAGTTACTCATCACCAATCACGTAAGGGGTGCATTATAGCTGATCGTTGCTTCCGGGAGGATTGTCCGATGGCATTAGGGACATGCGTAGCAATCTCTGCTGCCGCTACAGATCCGTTACAATGCACCATCTTAGTACGGCATACACACAGCTACTCTGCAGGGGACTAACCTTCCAGACCCGGCCGGAGTACCTATGAATTCAACGGAAATACCCATTCACCTCTTCTGAGGACGAGAGCAGCCCCGAGCCCTTTCCGCCGCTTATCAATACTGGTAACACTGCAACCATCCTGCGAGTAATGAAAAAACTAAAGATTATAACGCTGCAGATCACAAGCACAAGGATAGGACTAAAACATTCTCCTTGGAAACCGCCAGCACGCTCTGTGATCGCCCATCCTGCTTTGCCCTATTTTGCCCCTGCTGCTGTAGCTGCCTACATTGCTACGGACTAATCCTCTAGGACCCTTGGTCCCCCAAACCCCCAACTCACACCTCTTAAATCTTACGCCATCTAACTGCACGCACGCACCTCACCAATCGCACGTCGACCGCCATCTATACCCACGACACCAAATCCTTCCAATGTAGACGTCCTCTCTTCACTCCATTCCTGCTTCCGCAAGGGATACCCAGCCTGCCTCTCTCCGCTCTTGCCCTCTTTCCCTAAAACCCCGAACCTCACCGCCCCTCGTTCCCTGACACCGCCACAGCCCTACACATGCGCAGCAGGTGTTGTCAACTTAATTACTCATCCCCCTTCCTTCATAACCGCTGACAATGCCCTGCCGGTTCCCTCTTGCGCCATGGCCATCACAGCCTCCTTGCAAATTGGGCACGCCATGGGGCAACTCACGTTCAGGAAACGAGACCACCGCCACTTCCTTGCTACCCTTCACACCCCCGCCAGACCGGCCGCCGCTACAGCCATTCTCCTCGGCGGGCCTTACTTTCTGCAGATCGGGCAGAGCCTTCTGTAGCAGGTTTGGTGCTGCACGTGTAGGCATTTCGAGATAGAGAAGGCGCTCTTGGTGTCGCCGGGTGCGCGGGCCCGGGTGATGTGGATGGGCTTCTTGCAGACGGCGCAGGGGGCGATGTCGGCGCCGCCGGCAATTCCCTCGCAGCCGGCCTCGTCCAGGGCGTCCGCCAGGGTTTCCCTGAGAGGGGAGGAGGAAGGAGCGGACATTGAAAGGGATTCCCAAGCGGTGGCTTACCAGCCCCCGTTCCCTCACAGCAGCCGGTACAAAGCGGGGATACCGCTTCCACCATCCAGACTGACGAGAGGACAGACAGCCACATGTATCCAGCACCCAGCTATCGCCATGCCCACCCACCGCCCTATCTCACGCCCTCAAGTCACCAGCAAAATGCCGTTTCTTCTGCCCCTTCACCGTCCTATCCCCGCCGTGGTGGAAGCGGTATCCCCGGCCGCCCCTCCTTCCCTCCCTGCACCCTGTCCACCGCAACCCGCCGCGCACCGGTACTCCAGCGCCTCCTCCGGCATGTCCAGCTGCAGCTCCGTCAGATTGGCCAGCGTGATGAGCAGGTGGATCACCGTGTCCAGCTTCTCCATCAGCGCGTAGAGCGTCATGGCCTGCGAGGGGGGGGGGTACAGGGAGGGGCGGAGCGCGGAGGGAAGTATGGGTATGTAACAGGCATGTTGACGAGGAGGGGGAAAAGTGTTGTAAGCGGAACAATGAGTCCCAATCCCATATGGGGAGGAGGGAGGAGGGCCACATACCGGTCGTTGACGTGTCTCACCCCTGAACTCACCCCTTGCATCACCTTGAACCCCCATGCAAGCAACCCATGCCCGCAACCAAACCAAACCAGACCAAGTAACCAACCCACGCCCCCCGCCCCACCTGTTCGTACACCTGTCTGGCCTCCTGGTACTTGCGGGCGGCCACCAGTGCGGACGCCATGTGGTCCAGGTACCACGCCGTCTGCAGCATGTCGGCCATGGTGGGCCGGTTGCCGGCCTCCGCGGCCTTGGCGAGCTGGGGATGGAGGTTTAGATGTGGAGGGATGAAGTCCGGCGGGATTGGGGGCGGGGCGGCGGGTTAATGTTAATGATACATATGCCAGGTGCCGTAGCATCAGGAAAACTACAAGGCGCAAGCCGCACGGGTACGAAGAGGCGTTGTTTTGGAACGAACTTTGTGCCACATAACACGGGGGGGAAGATACTACCCAACCGACCGATTTAACTCCCTGCCCCTCACACTCGTTTATAGACATGTAACAGCAGCAGCCCTGTCTTGTACAACGGTCGCACGCACGCCTGGCGTTCGTTCCCTAACTACCACACACACTACCTCGCCCACCTCGTCCTCGCGCAGCCTGACACCAAACTGCAGAAACGCAAGGCGCCTGTCGGAATTGCTCGAGACTTCCGCGTCGCTGATCTTCACCAGCATATTGGTCTAGGGGGCGGCGGACGGGAAGAAACGGGAGGTTAAGAGAATAGATGGGGGTGGAGAGGAGAGAGGAAACAAGGTGGGGGATAGTAGAGGGATGGCAGGCGTCTTCCAAATTACAATAGCTGGGCATGGGCATGAGGTTTTCACAACACCCTGCCGTTCGGGGATTCTCCAGCAGCACACCGGACACGCCAGTAATCTGAACCATGCAATCTTGCCGACACCGATCTCCCCACCTTCCGGCCCCAAGACTCACCAGCTGCATCAGCGAGATGCCGGCGTCGTTTGCATCCCACCCCGAAGCGCCCAACGCCTCCCGCAGCAGATCTCTAACCTGCCTCCGGATAGCGAGGGAGAGGAATGAAGGTACGAGCGTCATAGGAGGAGAGCGGCCATGACACAGACACAGCAAGCTTTGAAGATTAATAATAAGAGACGTACAGGTCCTTACGTCAAGACATACCGGTACCCCCTCCCACCGCCTGCTCGCCTTCCTCTACTTCGCCTACTCCCGTCTTCCGCTGGCCTAGCCCGCCCTTCCACTGCTCCCTCATCCACCTCCAAGCATGCACCCTCACCCTCACTCCGCATCCCACGATGCCCTCCCACCCACCTTGCTCATCTGTCCCGTCTTCCTCCACAGGCGAATCAGCCCCAGTGCGTTGTCCACCAGGACCGCCATGTTTCGCTCCCGCTTAGCCGAATCAATGCCGGCTTGGAATGAGTCCGCCGCCGCGTCGATATTGCCCATCCTGTCATGGATGTGCCCCATCAACTCGTGCATTTCCTGGACCAGATCGGGACGCGACTCATCGCGCGCGGCGGCCTTCACCAATCGGGCCTTGGCCAGCGCTGTTTCCAGTTGGCCTGCGGCAGGCAGGGACCAGGGAGGGAGGTATGCCGGCATGCCGGCAGGGGTGCTAGAGGGTAGGAGTTGGGAAGGGGAGAGGCTGGGTTGACAATACGGTAAGCATGGGAGGGAAACAGCACAGCAGTGACTACCGGTCGGTTCGCAGGTTGGGAAGGGCGCTGTCGCAAAGCAACATCACCGCCCGCCCCACCGTCCCAAACATGATCAGCTACCGGTATCTGTGTCATACATACAGTGCCTAGTAAGCGACGTTCATTCCCCTTCAGCCTTCACCCACCACCTATGTAGGCTTCCGTCACCTCCATGTACTTCCGATCCAACGCGCCAGCGCCCCTCATAGCCGCCTCCTGCACCTCATCCCTCAGCTCTTCCTGCAGGCCCCAGCTGTGCGCTCCCCTCGTACTGTCAAAGGCGGTAGCGGCGGACAGCAGGGTACGCTGGCCCCACTTCGTCCCCTGCTGTGCGCGGCTGCTGTCCCCCTTGGGCTGGGCAGCAGCAGCGGGGGCAGCAGGCGCCTCATCGGAATCCGTGCTTATCATGGGTGAGGCAGCAGCGCTGCTGGTGGTGCTGCTGGTGCTGCGCTCGGCAGGGGAGCCGGTTGGGGAAGGAGTAGTAGTGCCGCCTCCGCCCTTCACGGCCGCCTTGTAGGACTTATCGGGGGTGGATGCAGCCGAGGGGCTCGGGACAGCTGCAGCAGCGTCCGGCGGCCGGGGGCTGGCGGCCTTGGGGGTGTTGGGCTTGGCCTCGGCGGGCGAGGGCTTGGTCTGCTAGCAGGAGAGGAAAGGGGTACTGCGTTAGGCGGGACCAGCTGTGGACAGCAGCCTTGCATCAGTTGCCACAACACACACGGTGGCAGCGTGGAAGGAGAAGCGGCAGGCCGTGTAGCATACAGGCTACAGGCAGCAGCGGGGGTAATGACCGACCTCCACTCCGGAAGGCTGTTCAGGCGGGTGGGCCGGAGCTGGATCTGTCCACGACAGGGAGAAGGCCTCCGTCACCCTGCACGACATTGCCGTTGGTCAGAGGGATCATGCATGGAACGGGCGCAACAATCACATGGCCCTTTCATAACACGTGCAGGCAAAAGGGAAACCCACCCACCCTGACCCACATGTCACGAGTCTCAGCGAACTGCTTGTTCGTGACCTCCACCGCTGCCCTGACGCTCCTTGCCATGGTTTGGAGGTCAACCGGATCGCCGATGTGCTCCAGCAGCTTGCTGGTGAACACGCCCCGTCCCTGGTGCTCGATTGCCACGCTGCCGGCGCCGCATCTGCAAAGAGGCACAACGGTGGCATTAAAACCAAGCATGCAGCACATTGCTCCTCCTGACCCGGACATTGCCTGCATGCATGCATCAAAAGCAAACCCACCCATAGAAGATCATGTACTGGTTCCTGTGAGAGCGATGCTGCTGCGCGGCAGCACCGCGGGAGATGTCCGCACTGTCGCCACGTGCGACGAAATCCCCCTCTCTGCCAAGCCCTAGGATGCTGAATTTTTTAGTTGGTGGGACCCTGCGATGTATGTGGAACATGCCAGTCATTACCATTAGGGAACGGCAGATTGCCAGGTAGGGTTGACAACCTGCCCCTGACATTCAATTGCAGTCTAGTTTGCTGTGAATGCAGCAGTGAACCGTGGGTCACTCCAACCTACTGATGGGGCCGTCAGCACCAACCAAGTGGTTTATAGCCCTTAC